TGATTTCTGTTTGACATTCGCGACGGCACTCGTAAGCGACAACAAATCACTGGCAAGCACGACCGATGAAGCATAATCCGGTGACTCCTCGACCGACTTTAGTATTGGACCTGGTTGATTCCCCACATTATCCATGCGCGTGATGTAGGAGAAGTCCTCAACGATCTTTGCTGCTTGACTGCTAGCACTTTTAACTTTTTCAGACAGTTTTGCCACTGCATCTTTGTTTATCCCTAAACTATCCAATGTCTTGTTTATTAATCCAGTTTTTATAGGTTCGGGCGTTTTGATTGGGATGTCTGCAAATGGGTTGAGACGTCGCAAAATTTGGTCGGTTAAATTTTTTTCTGTTGTATTATTAGCGGTAATCGCGCACGCAATCGTAAGTAGGACTCCTATCGAGATCATGGCGGACCGAAACGTGCGCGTGCGCCGGTCTTCAACACCAACTGAAGTTAAGCGCGCAAGTCTTCGAGGAACGATCAATGAAACAAAGTGACTCAATACGCTGTCTGCATATCTGTCGAACCACTTCGATATTGAAATTGCTTCATTGTTTATCGTGGTTGTGATGCTAAGCACCACCTAATATTATATATTATCTGTTTCCATCCACAAAAGAAAATACCTTAAAATTCCATTTTTAAGTAGTCAAAGTAGTCTTTAAAAATTAACATAAACAAAGTTATGAAATCTATTTTTATCTCACATACTCATTATTTTAATTAAAGTTTATTTACATAATTATAAAATATTATGTACATGCATTGTATACAAAATAGCCTGCGCGTATATCCCTTTTCCATTTCGTATTTTCGCACAAGCAGATGTAATAACGGAAAAAGGATTCAACCCACAGTTGGACTAAAAAGTTATATAAGGGAAAACTGTTTCGTGAGACCCATAACTTTATACAATAAAAGCAATCCTAGCAAAAGACGCAAAAGAAACAGGCCATGAATATTGTATACTGATTCGAAAAAAACATCAAAAGGTTTCTAATGAAATAAACCTACTTATTTCATCATAAATATTATGCAGTAGTAATAAATAATATTTATTTCAGTTTATGACAACCCTGATTTATATTGCATGGCTGAAATTAGATACTCCTTATTTGGTACTCTAAAACCAAAAAAATAACCTGACAGCTGACATGCATATCATACATTTGGTACCTATATTTAATTACAGCCCCATTAATGCCCACTAAAATAAAATAAAAATCTCATAAATTTATTAAAAAATAACGGCATTACTATGTCGATATATTCATGCAATAACAAGAGCCTAAAGATGATAATAAGTAAAATAAGTCTAATTTTAGCGGAACCATAACTTATCAAAAAAGCGTCGGTGTTTCGATTTTAAATTTAACATTGATAGATTTATAACTGTGTGGTAATATTTGGAATATACTTTCCTCTAGCTACGAAACATTTTTAGTTGACAATATTTGTAGTTAAACCCACTAGAAACCTTATTTTTGAAGAAAAAGGCGAAATGGCTGGGATTAAGAGCGGGGCTGGCATTAGGGGCATCCTACAATGAAGATGCATATGCACTGATGAACGTACGCCTCCCTTGTGCAGTATTGCACCTTAGTTATTTTTTTTTGTTTTTTTTTTAAACATACATTTTATACTATTTAATTATTGTCTATTATTATCGGTATATTTGTAGAAAGTATCAAAGTGCCTATAATTTTACAGTCCTATATTCCAAACGTTAATATCTCTTACCGTTAGTGCTCGTAATACAAACACCTTGCTCCTAGAAAGATAATCCACATCACTATATTATATTATTTATATTATAAACTGATATTAATTTAGAAGAATGTAACAGACGTTGAAACAGTTTTGATGTTTTTAAGAGAGCCGAAGAAGTAGCCGTGACAAATGAGCACACATTTTACCTGATGGTAAGCGAATGCTGTGGTCCATACACACCTACATCTGTCATATATCAAGAATCAAAATGCAGATGCGTTGTTACCCCAGAGACTAACAATGGAATACTTCGTTGCCAGTGAATAGGATTGATGATCCTCGTCACCCATCGCACGAAACATAACATAATTGTGTTAATATTAATTATAAATTAATATATTATAAAACGTGTATATATTATTTTAAATCAAAAACATAAATAAACCTAAGTATATATATTAATAAATCACATCACTCCTACTGACGTAAGGAGTCGCATACCACAATAAGTAATTAACTAGAATATGCTACCTAGGCGTATATATAAAGTGAAATCTAATATTTAAACAACTAAATACATAAAGCACTAAGTTTGATTTTTTTTAAATATTTTTCTCTGCAACCACAATACTTTACGTAAATGTTTGTACAGTTAATTGGTCAAAACAAAATTATTTGTCCAATGTTTATTTTCAGGTTGATTATTTTGTGGTAGTAATGACATTATCAATAATTGACTGCCTTGTTAGTACGACCACTAGGGTCGTAAGCGTGACTGTTTATGTGTGGGCCTCGGTTCGAATTTCTCGTCGGACTGAAATCAGTTATTGAATTTTACTGTCAAAAAATTCTCAGTAGTAGCTCGGAGTCAGAATGTTGTGGTGTTTTAATCCACTTGGTTCGGAAAGGACGTAAAAGTAGTTGGTCTTGCGCCTCTCTCATTCACCTGTGCACACACACTCATGTACTATAATCCTGTCTTGCTCAGATGACTAGTCTCCGTTGGAACCGGTCGCCGTGATCGATATTCGGTATAGAGAACATTATCTTTAATTTATAGCAGTTATTTGCTACACATAAGCCATACCTCCAGATTTCCAATAGTAACAATAACAATAATTATAATTTTTAACATAATTCACTGTAGTGTAAATATGTTAGAAGAGTTAGTAAATATTATATGTTAGTATAAAAAGTTCAGTCTCGTGTCTGATTTGGCCACGCTCAAATCTTCAACACCTATCAAACCTATAAGTGTAGATTATTACAAGTACAGTACAATTAAAATAATGTTATGCAATTAGTAGCCTGCTAGTTTTTATTACGTAATTATTTTACTACGTTTATTGAGTATAATATTGCTTAGTTTTCTATTGCTTTTTTTATATCATGTAGAATTTGGTGTAGTTATGCAGTTGCCATCTATGGTGAGCCACGCTGCAGCTATGTTATGATTGCAACACGAATGGGTTGACTCGACTGGAGAAGGACCAAGCCCTTACAGAATAATAATGCTTAAAATCAGTGTTTCATATGGTGAGAATAGAGAAGCAAAAACTCTTTTATTAGTATCGAGGCATTCTATCTTATCACTCAGGGGTGGCTGCACATTAATTATTAACCCAAGATAGATGTGTGTATTTATTCATCTCAGTCCATGGTACCCTCAGTGGAGATCAGCTGGGGACTTTATGCTCATTATTTACATCTTTACACATTTTAGATTGATCATGACCACAATATCCACCTGAACGCACGCAAATGACGATTTAGCTCTGCTGATAGTCGCTCTTGTTTTGCAACACTGTAAGCATCACGAACAACAAATAAAGTTAATTGTTTATACATGATTGTTGCCTACGCAAAAATCATAAATAAGTACCTATATGATGTGAATTTTACAATCATAAGGCAATATAATTACACATAAACATGAATTTTATTGAAATTTATTTTAATTTTAATTGCAAATACACGTTTTGTCGTTACTTAAACTCGTGATTTACGGTAAACGAATAATCTGAAATAATCCATAGGGCGTTCATTATTTAAAATCAATATATTAGGACTGTTTCTATAACATTAATAAACTTGAAGTCTCCGTTAATAAGTAGACGTAGACTATTGTCTAACGAATACTAAAATGTAATGCACTGTTACCAGTAAAAAGGATATCCAGTTCATGTCACTTACCATAGAAAGCAGAGGTGCATAATGTTGAAATAACAAGTTGGTACCCTGTGCAAGCCTGATGCTTCCCCAATCAAGCCAACGTATTCGTGCTGTAGCCATAAAATACGCTGCATCATTAACCCATCACGAGAGCAGCAGCAACAACGAGCAGCACGAGTAAGAGAGCTTTATACTTATATTTAAATTTCGATTAGCTATCTTTAAAAGATTGTTATTTATACAAAAAATAAACTACGTACAGGCTCATAAAAAATACGAATTTATCACTCCAAATTCTAATAATAATTTGAAGTTTTGTATACGTGCTTTGCAATGACATCTTTAAAAATTTAATTAAACTATCTAAACTTTTAATACACATACATACCTAGAACTTTAGCCTTATGTATAACTAGCTGTTCCCCGCGACTTCGCCCACGTGTTAGGGTTTTTATGTTTTTGCGCGGAACCCTAATTCATTTTCTAAAATAAAAGTAGCCTAAGTTACTCCATATAAAATCAGCTACCTACCAGTGAAAGTCTTGTCGAAATCGGTTTAGCCGTTTCGGAGATTAGCCGGAACAAACAGACAGACAGACAAAAATTAAAAAAAAAGTATTTTAGTTATAAGTACCGTATTTACTTTCATATAGTAAAAAACTGTAATTTTGACATTACAAACAGACACTTCCTTTTTTTTATAGGATCGGGTGACAAACGAGCACACAGTCCACCTGATGGTAAGTGGTTCCTGTGACCCATAGACATCTACATCTATCCTCAATAAAGACTCAAGATGCAGATGCGTTGTCACCCGTGAGGACTAAGATAGAATGCCTCTTTGCCAGTAAAAAGGGTCTCCGGTTCTCTACACTCACCATACGATACACAGCAGCGTTAAGCTGCTATTTTACGCTGGTATTCTGTGAGAGCGTGGTCCTTCCTCGGTCGAGCCGACCTATTAATGCTACAAGCATAATATAGCTGCAGCATGGCTCTACCACGTAGAAAACTTCAATTTTATTTATTTGTATAGATGTGTGTTAGCATTTTTAAGAAAAAAAAATTAATTATATTAAAGACTTATATATACATAAAATTCAATTTTATTAATAATCATCGTTCCCGGGAGTATCGATAATTTTGAGCACCGTCTTGACCATTTCCATTTCCAGTTACCTCCCAATCATCAAGATCCCTATCACTATTTCTTGAATATGGTCTCCTTTGAGCATTGTCTTGTCTGTTTATCCAAAAATCTTCATTTCCACCCTGTTCTTCTTCTTCGATTATTTCTAGATCTTCTTCATCTAAACAATTATGACCTTCAACAACAGCTTCTGCATCTTCTTCTTCTTCTAAGATTTCATCCAATCCATCAATTAATTCTCTTCTGTATTCATATTCTATTTCTGCTTCTGGTATATCTTCTAACACTTCTCTGTGAGCTACTAGGGTTTGCCTGTTTCGCACTGTTGGAGTTTCAACAGCATTTTCGTTTTTTAAAGGACATTCGGGTTCGCCTTGAGATTTTTTCAAATCTAAACCCGCTTTCTTATTTTTTACGTCGTTTTTATAATTCGAAATCGAAAAAAGGATCTTAGGTAGAGATTGCATGGGTATAACAAATGTCAATGTCAGCAAAAGTGATGATAGAAATATGAGCGATATTTCTTGGATATTAATCTGAAATGAAACAGTTAAATGACTATTATTTTTGAAAACTATATACCGATAATTATGAGTGTTTAAACATAACATATTTCATAAAAATATAAATTAAATTCCAATTCATCGGTATTGTTGTGTAACTACTGTTTAATAAAAGTTACGCTTGTAATTTGTAATGGTATATTCAAATTATATATACTTTATATTAAACTTACCAGTGATATTAAGCTAAACTCACTGGACGTCCTAATTGTAGCCGCATTTGTCAGAAACACAATGAACTGACAAAGGTAAAGGGCATAAGAAAGGCGACTTATGAGAGTTAACGGACGGCTGCACAGAATGTTTTTCAGGAAATCTGTAAATAGCGAGAGAATTGTCATTATTTTTTAATTTGGTATTTGACGGTTTAGGGGGGCCTTATATTTACATTGTATTTACATTTTCAATACTAAAACTTTTATTTACCTTAAAATGGAAAATCAACCAAGTGTGTATATTACGAAAAATAGCAAACGCAAATTATATGATGCGGTAATTTATTATAGATTGTGTCAACTATACAATTTAATTTCAAAATAAAGTGTTAGATACAGCAGTGCAAAATTTAAATTATACCGCCAACTTGTACAGGAGTTTTAATTATTGTGATCTTTACTTTTAAACAAAGTACTAACAACTTAATATATATTAAGAAAAAAAAACCTCACAATGATATATTTTTATAACTAATTTCCTGCTGAACAAAGTTGGAAAATTCCAAATAAGCTTGCGCACACAAAAACCCAAATCTTTTTTTGATTTTAGCTGGGTTTTCCCAGGACAGAGGTTGTTTTCGAACCAGTATTAGCAATAAATATACCCAGTTTAATTAAAAAGTGACTCTCAATAAGATTTTTTTATAATATAATATACTGAATATCACAACTGCAATGTAGTTTGTGTACTTGTAAAGAGCTGCAATGATGGTGATAATGATACTAAGTAAAAACCTATTCTATTTAGTTCTATTCAATTAAATAATAACTGTTTGTAACTTATTTCGTAATAAATAAGAAGTGTTAAAATAAAAAAAATAAGAAATGTTTAAAATATTTGCCGATATTGGGTATGTGATGATGCAAAAAGTCTTTTTTTTATACTAACACGAACACACACTTAAACCTGGGCGCTAGATAATTAGTAGAGTGTCTTTTTTATAAAATTAAAGTTAAATAATAAAGGCGTTACTTTGCGGAAATCCAATATAATAGGGTTTTTATAAACTAATTTGCTTAATTCCGCGTAAAAAAAGAAAATGATGTGTCCTGCCCAGTTTTAAGGGAACCTCCCACCCTCCCTCAATCGCGCGCACTATACCCGTCGTCGTTAATCCCAGCACTACCAGCACTGGGGTGGGGTGGTGCTGGGGTTAACGACGACGGGACGATTCTTTTTTTACGCGGAATTAAGCAAATTAGTTTATAACAACCCCATTAAAATTAAAGTTATTAACAAACTTAAAGTTCAGAAGGTAGGTCGCTGCTGCAGTCCATTGACACCTCCAGCCAACTTCAAAAAAGAAGACTACGGATGCGTTGTCACCTTTGATAACTAAAATGGAATACCTCGCATCTTTTAATTACCCTAATATCGACCTTAGGCAGCATACTTGTACCCAGCTCAAACGATACGTGAGACGAAAGAATCTTCCATATTTTTTTTATTTTTTATTTAGTTTAAAAAAACGTTATTATAACGTTATTTCTTAACGTTCATTTACCAGGATATGGCTTAGAAACCAGGTGTACAGCATGCGATACCATATAAAATCCATTATTAGACAGTAGTCGGTGATAATAAATGAATACTATTAAAAAACGTAAAAATTATAATTCTTTTACAAAAATAACTCTTGTTCATTTATCGTATTATGCAGATGTGGATGCATGTTTGTCCCATTTATTTTTAAAAAATATTAATGTGTGTTGTGTATATTAAACACACTGCATGCGACTATCAAACAGTTTTTACGTCATTAAACAAGCATTCATATTATTATGACCTGTTTTCAATGTTCATGATTTTAACTTTTCAACGTAAAGCGATAAGTCTGTTTATGGTTGAATAAAACCATTTTATACGGATTTCATCGCGTTAATTTTACTTGTTGTCATCATTGTAGCCACACGCAAGTGTGAGTATCCAAGAGCGAGTCTTATCCGACATTATTCCGATGATATCCCGGACGTCAGTCGAGGCGAGGATGGAATTACAGCGGAGCTTCTGAAAGCGGGTGGAAAACCGATACTTGAAGTTCTTCAGAAGCTCTTTAATTCCGTCCTCCATGGTGGCATTACACCGGAGACGTGGAGCAGAAGTGCGGTGGTCTTGTTCTTTAAGAAAGGCGACAACGCTCTCTTGAAGAACTACAGACCGATTTCCCTTCTGAGCCGCGTTTACGTGCTGTTTTTACGAATCGTCTCGCGCGCAGACTTGACGACTTCCAGCCTCCCGAACAAGCCGGTTTCCGAAAAGGCTTTAGCATCATAGACCACATACATACCCTTCGGCAAATTGTACAGAAGTCAGAGGAGTACAATTTGCCACTATGTCTGGCGTATGTGGACTATGAGAAAGCCTTTGATTCCGTCGAAATTTGGGCGGTGCTGCAGTCCCTTCAGCGGTGCCAAGTAAACTGTTGGTATATCGAAGTGCTGAAGTGTTTGTACAGTAGGGCGACGATGGCTATCCGAGTACAGAACCAGAGTACGAAACCTATCCAATTGCAGAGAGGTGTAAGACAGGGTGACGTCATATCCCCGAAACTCTTCACCACTGCTTTGGAAGACGTTCTCAAGCTTCTGGACTGGAAAGGATACGGTATCAACATCAATGGCGAGTACATCACTCACATTCGATTTGCCGACGATATAGTCCTTATGGCAGAATCGCTGGAGGACCAAAGCACTATGCTCAATGACCTCAATAGTGCTTCCCAACGGATAGGTCTTAAGATGAACATGGACAAAACAAAGATCATGTTTAATGTCCATGTCATACCAATGCCGGTAGTTGTTGGGAGCACTAAGCTCGAAGTTGTTGACGAGTATGTTTACCTGGGACAAATAGTCCGACTAGATTTTTTTTTTAGAATTGACAAACGAGCACACAGTCCACCTGGTGGTAAGTGGTTGCTGTGGCCCATAGACATCTACATCTATCTTCGTTTGCAAATTAAAATGCAGATGCTATGTCAGCCGTGAGGACTAAAATAGAATGCCTCTTTTTCAGTAAAATAGGTATCCGGTTCTCTACACTCATACATACGAAACACAGCAGCATTAAGCTGGTATTTTATTTCGGTATTCTGTGAGAGCGTGGTCCTTCCCTGGTGAAACCGGCCAATTAGTGCTACAACTATACTACTAATATAGCTATAAATGTTAGAGCCATGCTGATACGTTTAATGATACATTTTTTTAAATCTTTTATCACCATTTTTAAAACGATATTTTATTCCTGTTAATAAAAATGATTATATTATATCATATATAATATATACATATATTATATACAACAAAACTATTATGGTTTTGATTGTGGGAAATATAATCATTTCCACCATCATGTATTTCACAACAGTTATCAGAAATCAGAGGACGCCTGTGAACATAGTCTATAATTTAAATTTTACTAAACATAAGCCTCAGCTCAGACCACCCCAAAACACGGTGTAGAGTCAGCAGCATCCATCGATTTCCTACATGTCTTACGAGTACTAGATTGTCACTCCATTTAGTAGGGGTCGACTCTACATTGCGTTTGCCTAAGCAAAGCTGGCACTCGAGAAACTTTCTTCCCCTTTTTATAGTTCTCTTTTCTATCCACAACTGTGGCTTTACTACTAGGTCTCTTCATAATGGATTTCATTACATTTTATGTTGTATATACATTAAAAAAAACTAATTCAATTAAAATTAAGGAGACGATTTTGAAACAATTGAACGAAACCACGACGTATTTTCGGTGCAAATAGTTTCCGTGAATTTACTAACCAGATTTACCTCCAATCAGTTGCTATATACTCACCACAATAACCGCCGTGCACTGCATATATTAACCATGCGATTGCCAAAGCCGACGCAATCGGTGCCAACGCGGCGTATTGGGCAGCAAATGTTACACTGTATCGATACTGATGTGAACCAGAATCAAAGCCAGCCCATAATAGAAGAAACCATAGCAATCCGCTGAATAACCAGCCAAACGTTATTAATACCTGCAAAAAAAACCACTTATATGATAATCTTTTATACACAATTTCATAACTTCTGAAGTCAGTGTTAAGACTAAGTATTTCGATGAATTTAAGCATCAATCGATTTAAAGCGTACTTCAAAAGCTTTGGAGAAATTATTTTATTCATTTTATTTTTAATGAAGTCAATGTTTCCTTTTTAGAGTTTTATTTTTTGACTCTTTTTACATCAAAAATATTAAATTCAAATTTTCATTCTATGTTTCTTCACCTTTAGATTTTTTCAAACTTTTATAGGCTCACCCACGAGGTATAATCTATTATATTTACGAGTATATATTAATCTTATTATCTTTTATATACAAGTAAGAATATAAAATATACATTACATTGGAATTATAATTGGTTAAAATATCACAAAAATGTACATTAGAATTAAGTACGTTCTCCTTTGCTGAAGTCGGTGAAAAAATGTTGTTCCACAAATACGAGTATATAGTTTAAAAAAAACACACACACACATTTCACATTGCTCGCGTAACATGAAATTTAGGTCGATCGCTTTTTTATATAGAATAAGGGTGACAAACGAGCACACAGTACACTTAATGGTACATGGCCCATATACATCTTCATTTATCCTCAATTCAGAATCAAAATCCAGATGCGTTGTCACCCGTAAGGACTAAGACAGAATGCCTCGTTTGCAGTAAAAAGGGTCTTCGGTTCTCTACAATCGGTATACGAAAAACAGCAGCATTAAGCCTGTATTCTGTGAGAACGGGGTCCTTCCCCGGTCCCCCGGTAGAGCCACAATGCAACCATAATATGGCTGCATTGTGGCTCTACCACGTATAAAAAATTGCCTCTGAGCTACCACAGCACACATAGTTAGGAAAATTGCATGTCTGAGGAGTAAAAATATGTTGAAGACATGCGATATTTGTCAACGTGCTCTATTAAAATCCGATCTGAGATGAGAGGAGATATGTGTTCAACCTAACAACGCAACGTCCTGATAATACTAGAGTCGTAAGGACTTGTTAGGTATTGTTTTTAAACGATGCCTGCTGGTTGTTTGGTCCTTCGTTGGAAACCAATTTCATTCGACGCTTAGTCACACTATGGATACCTGTTTTATTAAAAACCGTTACAGGTTTTTTCGACCCAAAACTCGATTCTACAATAAGTCAAATGGAAGTACGATTATTACAGAAAATCACAGAAAATCGAATGTGTTTCGATTGACGGCAGTATAACCGTCTCGTTTACATGGACAGGAGGCAGACATCGGCGACAAAGGCGTCAAAAGGCGTCAGACAGTGGGATTGTCAAACCACCTGCCAAGCCTGACGATAAAGACATATTATCCCTTCAATGAGCGAGATGCCCATGTTCAGCAGTGGATTTTTATAGGCTGACCTAGCTGGTCCTAACGCGATGCTGCCGTAGAAAAAATAATTGTGGAAATATGGTTTCCAATTTTAAAGAGTTATATTGTTAAATAGGAATGATAATACATTCATTGAAATTGAATGATACATTACTTTCAAATAAATTTGTCGGTGCGATACGTGCGCCACCTACTGTAAGTTAATTGTAATATGCCTGCAACCTCCGCCCAAGTGCAAGCAATAACTTGACAAAGTTATAGTGTAATCTGATGAACGATATGGCAGCTCATAAAATGCGAACAAACATTAATCTTTTATATGTAAGAAGTATAATAAATAAAGGTGAAAGAAGTTAATTTTACCGTGCAGTGGCGGTGTAAGAATATCCACTACCATATGTTATCCCGTGGGTGCTGTAAGAGGCGGCAGAGGGAAACAAATCAGGAGATGGGCAGCAGCGTCTTTCTAACAACAGCTTAAAATAAAAACTGCGATTGCAAACTCACTTGCAAAGCGTGGCAACTATAGCAAATATCCCCCCTATGAGGCAATCTACGGGGGAGGCCTATGTTCAGTAGTGGACTTTAGTAGGCTGTGACGCTTGACGGTAACGGATAAAGAAAGAATGGATATTGTTTCACCATCTCATCTTTGAGAATCACCTTCAAACATATCATGCCAACATTTCATTCTTGGCAACTTGCCTACAATCGCTAAGCTTTCGGTTTTCAGAGAATACATTAGTACATACGTTATTTGACTCAACACTACAGCATTAAGATATAATTCAAAACACATCATACTAATATCTTGTTCCCCTTAAGGCTTAAAGTACTTAAAGTTTTCATAAAGAATTTTAATATGTTTTATATGTTTAGTATGTTCGCCAACAAAAATAGTAATAAACAAAACTTCAGTTTCGCCGTAATTAGTTTGTAGGTGGCAGTACGATATATCACTTTGAACCTTTTGTTTATTCTTTTTCATTTTATTTTTTAATCTCATCTTAAAATTAAAACCTTTCCTTTTATTGTGGAGGCGTATTACATAAATTAATTGCACTTAGGTAAACGACCAGACCTACAGTTATTTGTAGGCCGTACGAATACTTGTATCGTGTGGAATTCAAACCCGCGGCTCAAAGCACCGCAGCTAAACGCTTGGATACTGCACTGCCAAGATATCCTTTAATATATCCTTCGCAGCTTATAACTTACAACAGCATTTGAAAGATATATAGTAAATATATATACTTATTTGTTAAAAAACCTTAATGACTTATCTTTGGGATCTTATGAGTTTTTTTATGATTTTACTGGATCATGACAAACAAACACATATATTACACACATTAATAAAATCAAATCCACCCAAAATATATATGAAGAAGCCGGGAGAAGAGCTGTGACCCTTGAATACGTATATGAAATACCTGTATTATATACATATAATATGTAATTCAAAAACAAACATTCAAATCGGAATACAACAGTGAGTTCGCTGCCCTGTGTAAACGGGCGACCCTTACCTGGATGTTTTTAGAAGTTTCTTGTCGTTACTTATCTAATTAAAAGTGCTCTTGCCGTAAAGACGAGTCGTGAGAGTATTCATCACCCTAATTCGCCTTGTAGGTGTCGTAACTGACGATATTTATAATTGATTTATAATACATATATGATCAAACGAACTTCCAAGTGAAGTTCGATCATTATTATGATGACTTGCTTCTTTTGAAGATATGATTATAACAATGTAGTTTCCTACTTACTTACTTGGTAACTTCGTACGAAGTTACCAGTAAGTACGGAAACTATATTGTTATAATCATATTTGAAAAATGAAGCAAGGAATTATAAGTAATATTGAAGTAGCAAATGAACTTACAGTCCAGTTGATACTACGTGGCCCATGGACACCGGCAACCAACTTCAAATAAAGTAACTACAGGCTTTGACACCTCTGAGGACTAAGATAGAATGTCTCACGCCTGTAAGTGATTATTAGTGTACTCATTCGTACTGCTATTTGTTGGTAGAAATAGGTAAGGTAGTGGTAATTGCCAAGACGGATTCCTAGGCTAGGATTCATACGTGGTAGAGCCATGCTGCAGCTATATTAGTAGTATAGTTGTAGCACGAATGGGTCGGCTCGACCGGGGAAGGACCACGCTCTCACAGAATACCAGCGTAAAATGGCAGCTTGACACTGCTGTGTTTCGTATGGTGAGTGTAGAGAACCGGAGACCCACTTTACTGGGAAAGAGGCATTCCATCTTAGTCCTTACGGGTGCCGACGCATCTGCATATTGATTCTTTACTGAGAATAAATGTCTATGGGTCACAGAAACCACTTAACATCAGGTGGCTCGTTTGTCACCCTATCCTATAAAAAAAGGCGGAAAAGGAGTTCGACACAGTGGCGGATTATCCTTAAATCAAACAAGGCACGTGCCTAAGAGCGGGAGTTTACAAAGGGTTGCAGTCGGAAGTTTTTAAGAAAAAACAAAATAACGTATGCGTGAAATAAAAATCATACTTTTTAAATAGATGTATAGCATCCAAAGCGCGCCCTGTCTACTTGATTAGTTATATATCGCTCTCACTCTCTCTTCACATTTTTCATTCACACACACTTGCTAAGGCTTACGTGTCCTGATCTGCCCAATTATTACGCAAACAAACTATACAATAATTTAATACTTTATAATAAAGTTGGTATAAGTAGTTATATATATTGGCCGGCGATGAGGTGTTAGCCTACGGCGCTGTCGACTTTTAATCCGCCCCTGGTTCTACAACCTAGTAAAAACGAGTGCGGCAAGTTATAGTTTCTTATAGATACCATTATAAACATATAGATTGCACCCGAGATAAAAAAAAACCCAAAGCAGAGATGAAACGCAGCATCAAACGTACGAAACGTCTGATCGTCAATACGTCTTTCAAGCGTAACAATTAAGACATACCCCCCTAACAACGATATGGGCCTATCTAAAGGGAGTGAAGAATTAAAATAATTAGATAAGTAACAGACTACATTGTATGTAGGCAGCGGGACGTATGTACAGTAGCGGGACGTATGTAGTACGTACGTCCCGCTACTAGGTAGAGACCTCCAGTTATTTCTTATCGGTTTTGTTGCAGGAAAGGACCGCCGCGCTGCTCCAATGCGTGTTGTCAGACTTCAAATGTTCAAATTCATCTTCGAAATATTTTTTTAATTTCTCAAGCAAGAAAATCAGCATTTAAAATTGCAATTAACAAATATTTGGTTAGTTTTTGGAAGGAAGTTCTTTATCGAACGGTACGAATTTGGCGGATGGGGGCTAGGCGAGAAAAAGTGTACGATTTTTCCGTCACGAATCACGACGTCTTCTGACGTAGTGTAAACGGCCTTGACGGCTATAAGAAAGCGAGATGAGACCATATCCATCTCCCTCGCACTTTTTCTTACTTGTCATGAATAGTTTATCAATAAGAATAATAGGTTTATCAATAAGAATATAGGTACTACGGAAGGAACTTCGTTCCAACCGAGTTCCACGACACTCCCGCATGTTTTTTTTTATCTTTATCTGTACAAAAAAATATAAAGTAAAGACTACTGTTTATATACGCCACTGCTAACACAGGTCCTCTCTCAGTTCTGTGAGGACTATTTTTTTTTTATAAGATAAGGGTGACAAACGAGCACACAGTCCACCTGATGCTAAGTGGTTGCTGCGGCCCATAGACATCTACATCTATCCTCGTTTGCGAATCAAAATGCAGATGCGTTGCCACCCGTGAGGACTAAGATGGAATGCCTCATTTCCAGTAAAAAGGGCCTCCGGCCACCTGCACTCACCAAGCGAAACACAGAGGTAAACCTCTACTTCACGCTGGTATTCTGTGAGGTCGTGGTACCACCCCGGTTCGAGCCGGCCCATGCGTGCGACAGCAAAAGCTGCCGCGTGGCTCTACCACTGTTAGAGTGTTTTGAAGCAGCAGTATGGACTATGGAGCAATTAGTCCATCCTGCTGCTTCAGTGAGTGATGTCAGACTTCACGTGTCTTAGAAATAATATTTCTCAGACATGGGTGTTTAATAGCGATGTTTTCCATAACCGCTGAGCACGTAGTAAATCAGCACTTTAAATTGCAATTCACAATTTTATCAGTGCCGACGGGGATCGAACCCAGTTTGCTCGTGAACCCCTAAACTTCCACGGCTTGTATATTATTGAATCTTGTGCGTGATACGGGATAAATTCTAACTCAGAACGTACAAAACCTATTCATTGAATTATTGTATCGATTCCAATAAACGTACTAAACTTGCAAATACAATCTTTCAAAGAAACAATTTATCGAAGTGTTTGTTTAGCCGACAGTAAATATCAGTGATCCTGTTTATATTTCGAATGAAACAGAACAACGTACTCTACTATGATAGGTATTATTCTTGAGAGTCAGCCCGAGGCTTAGCCCGATCAAGTATGGAGTGGAGCGGTGGATCACAGACGTGTAGCTCAGCCTCGCCGTTCTGTACAGTTGGCTTACACTGAAAATGAAGAAAAGAAAAATATCACATTACGTTTTATTCGAGAGCCAAAAGCAATATAATCCGAAAAATAAATCTTTTATGAGAAAGTAGAAATAAAGTGATGTTTAATGGGATTTTTAAAGCAGGCTCTAATGGTCATGGGTCCGGAATTAGCATTAATATTTAAAAGGTTCATATCCAGCAGACGAATAACAAAGTGAACTAAGTCCTAGCAATATCGTAAAATCACTGTTCTCTTTTTTATAGGCGTAAGGCTGTGTAAGAAACTCTTATCGTATGATAATTTCTCCTTGTGGTTGTTAAAGAATATCCTCTTTTTTTATAGGATAAGGGTGACAAACGAGCACACAGTCCACCTGATGGTAAGTGGTTGTTGTGGCCCATATATATCTACATCTATCCTCGTTTGCGAATAAAAATCCAGATGCGTTGTCACCCATGAGGACTAAGATGGAATGCCTCTTTACTACTATAGCAAATTAAAACTATGGGGAAAGTCTATGATCAGTTTTTTTTAAGTGGTAGAGCCACCGGAGACGCTTCTTACTGGATACGAGGCATTCCATCTTAGTCCTCAGGGATGACAACGCATCTGCTTTTTGGTTCTTAATTGAAGATAGATTTAGATGTCTATGGGCCACAACATCCACCTACCATCAGGTGGACAGTGTGCTCGCTTGTCAACTTTATTCTAAAAAAAAGAACAGGCAGTAGACTGTTCATAGGCTGTAATGAGTGATGGTGGTGACGTGATTGTCTTCAAGGTAATAGTATATTTATAAAATAGGGTTTTATTGCGCTAAGACAGTGTGATTTAAACGGGCTTATAATAAATTAAAAAAGAAAACAATTGATGCAATGCTGTTTAGCGACAGCAATAGGCTGGAAAACAATTTCCACAATTCATCTGACAAATAAAATTATCTTATACATACACTAAGAAGTTGATATTATTTTTAAAAGCTTACTGTTAGTGATATTCACTAATCATAGGATTTTTCCATAAAAACTTTTATATTAAAATTATTTATTGTTGTCAAAATGTGAATAAATACAACGAAATAATTATAAAAATTATTGATTTATTAATGTAATTTTTCATTTTAAATAAGAAATATTTAGATTATCTTTATAGATAAACTCGTTACGAAGCTCGGAGCACACCATATGCTTACGCTTGATGCCTTGATGTAAGCAGCACGTAACGTTGCGAAACTTGCTCGCGTCACGGTCCTACATTTTCTTTGCGGGCATTATTAAAACTTGCAATGTTTATGGCATTGCATTATTAATTTTTAAAAACCGTGCGTGAGTGTCGTTGAACACTCGGTTGGAACGAAGTTCTTTTCGTAGTAAATTTTTATTGAGACGTATTAAGTATAATATTGATCAACAAATTCAAATAAATGAATTACTATTAAAATGAAGCGTCACTTAAAATAATATTTCTTTCACGGCAAGATATGAAAGAGTGCGAGGACGATGGATAATATTCCATCTCGCTAGCACTATAGAAAGGCGGTAGTGACGGAAAAAACTTACACATTTTCTCGCCTAGCCCCCATCCGTCAAATTCGTACCGTGCGATAAGGAACTTCGTTCCAAAACTAAAGTCTACACAACGGTGGTCATTTGTTTATTGACTAAAAATGGAAACATAGTGACTTTAAGTCATTTTAATAATATCGTTTCTCATTTATTAACAGCATAAATATTGTCTGGTGTGATGAGCCAAGTTCCGTACTCAACGATCCGACGATCAGTCTATATAGTTGGACTAACAATATTCTTAAGTTTTAATTGACAACAGATAAAACTGTCAATGTACATCGTTTCTATTTAACATTCAGTCGCGGGGGGATGCAGGCAGCTAAGAGACACTTAGCAACTAAGGAGAACCCTTACTAGGAGGTTTTCTACGTGAGAAAATCCGAAACTAGAGAAACTGATACAACCTAGCCGATTAGTAGGCTGAAGGCTGGCAATGAGTCGACTGGAAGAACTGATCTACCTCGTACTGGCAAACGTAAGGTTGGGCAACCATACAATAGACCTGATTAAACATGGAGGGAGTCGATGGATGCAGATAGCCGACCATACTTTGCGACTATATATATATATATATATATATATATATATATATATTATATATATATATAAAAAAGGGTTATATTCAACTGTGTACTTGTAATGGACTATAATGAAGATAATGATGATGTATAGGTAGTTTTCAAAGATAATTGGAATAGGCCAATGTCTGTCCTCCTCAAACAAGTTCGAGCCTTATCCTAGCGGGGGTCTTACTAGCCGTGGGTTGTTCACCCATGATGAACAAAGGGACCCACATGGCTCGCCCGAGGTGTAGGGCCGGTAGCCGCTCCGAGTGGCAGGTAACAGGCTTAAATTTCGTATACTTTGCAGAAAAACTTATAGAGTAGTCTTTACTGTTCGAACCTATACTATAACATGTTAATTTATTGCTCAATTTATAAATGACGCAACCGCCATGGCCACGCTAACAGAAGGAAGTAGATAGAAAGAGTTCCTGCCGATTATTTTAGAGCGTCTTAATTATTTGATGACACATAATTGGAATATGCATAAGTAAAGTGTTACATAATGTTAATATTATAAAAATTATATATTAAAGGATAAACAATTTGGTTTTTTTAGTAGGAAATTAAAGTCACAGCCTTTATAACGAATATATGTGCCTATAGACGGCAGTTAGCAATTGCAATGGTGAGCGAAGCTCTTCTCAGCCTTCTCTCATTTCTGAAAGGAGTAAAGGGCAAGAGTGTCCGCCGCGTTGCCCAAATACGAAATAGAAATTAAAAAAAAAATATTTCGAAGACATCTGAAGTACCGTTACTTCAGATGTCTTCGAAATATTTTATTTTTAATTTCTCATACATGAAGGTTTCGTCACGATGTTTATCTTCACCGCCAAACACGTGGTAAAACAGCATTTAAAATTGCAATTGACAGTTTCATTGGTGTCGGTGGGGATTGTATCCGGGATTCCATGAGCAGCAACCACGGTTCTATAAGTCAATATTAGGTATATTTGTTGGTATTGAAGTCATGGTGCGGCAGTTGATATCTTGGATCCGATACCAAATTGGAATTCGTTTTTAAGAGGATTAAATGGATCAATAGGGAGTTTTTGTAAATATTAAAATATAAATATTTTTATATGCAGACAACAAAACCATTATAAAATGGTTGATATAGAAAGATATTTATGTATTTTCAAAAAAAAAACAAACTAAACCAGTGCAGACTGCGTATTTTAGTATATATGACTAGGTGAGAAGTAACCAAGTTGATTAGCCGGTAGGATAGCTTATACAAGGTTATTTTGCAATAACCGACCAAATTTTGCCTAATAGAATAGAATAGAATAGAATAATTTTTATTCAATATAGATCACATGTGTAATTCTTATTGAAAGTCATTTTTTACTTTACCACTGGTTCGAAAAAAATCCTCTGTCCTGGGAAGAACCAGCACGAAACCCAGCGGGACTTTTTTTTTTGCAAATTTTACAATAATGGTTGTACAAACTATATAAGTACAAAATTTATTTTAGAAACAGCTTGGAAGCGATCACCTCATTCCCAGGGGTTATTATCAACCATGTATTCATTTATACTATAATAACCCTTTTTATACAGTTTCAACTTAACAAAACATTTAAACTTGCTAATAGAGAGAGCCTGTACATATTCCGGGAACTTGTTGTAATAGCGTATACATTGCCCCGAGAATGAATTACTGACTCTGTGGAGTCGAGAAACTGGTAACACTGGTACAACTGGTATAGCTTGTGTTTGTTCCTAGTGTTTACAGAATGTATATCACTTTTTTTTACTAAAACTACCTTTGTTTTTGTGAACATACATTAAACTTTCGTAAATATACTGAGAGGCCAAAGTTAACATATTAATTTCTTTAAATTTATCTCTAAGAGACTCTCTCGGTTTTAGATTGTAAATAGCTCTAATGGCCCTCTTCTGTAAAACAAAAATAGTTTCTGAATCAGCCGCATTTCCCCATAGCAAAATCCCATAAGACATTATGCTATGGAAATAACTAAAATAAACTAATCTAGCTGTCTCGACACTAGTGAGACCTCTAATCTTTTTTACAGTATAGGCTGCAGAACTTAGTCTGCTTGCTAGTTTGGATATATGGGGGGATAATATAGGCAAATGGTGAAGAAAAGTTAATTAAAAAAAATCTCAAACATTTTATCTTTTTTATCTTTTGAATTCAAAATGCGTAGTAATGCATTATTTTAACTGATTTTACTGCGCACACACACATTCGTTAGGGTCTATCAGTAGGTAAAAACGTTGTTGGGATAATTTCAAATAAAAGAAGAAACCTTATTTACTCGTATTTTTAAAAACCGCAATAACGGTACGTGGATAAACTGTGTGTGATTATTTGTAACTGTGTGATAATTTGTGTTATGTGTGCTCGTTTGTCACCCATATCCTATAAAAAAACCCTCCCTTGTATAGAAAAATCATAACAACACAACAAACAAACAACACAATAAACACAAAGCAGCTGACAAAGCGCGCACATACTCGTAAGATCTTTGAACGATATACGCTTGAATCACAATTTGCTGCCATCTCGGTACCTTCCGGTGGGCGTGGAGCGATCAAGGCTGACTTTGTGGTCGTGTTGGTCGTTTAGTTTGAATATAAATCAGCTTATATCTGAACAGTTTTGAACAGTTTGACCGAATGTAATTGGAATATTCCGATAGCGGGATTTTTTTACTGCTTTGCATTTTTAAACTTAATTCCCATCATAAAAAGTTTTATTTCTATTGTAACTCAGATAGTTTTACGACATTTTGAACAGTATTTGCGATTCAAAAACTGAGTTTATTGTCAAGTTATTAAAGTTCACATTTGTATGAATTCCAATAATTTGAAATTCATCCTGCTCCGCGATCACGACATAGTAAATTATTTATTTATTTAGATTTTGTTGCATTAAAAGTACAAAGTCGTACTTAACTCCTTATGGCGTTCTCTACCATAGCTAAGCAGAGAATACTATTTAGAAGTTGCGATAAGGGTAAAAATTTACAAAAACTACCCACGGAAATGTTTAAATAATACATTTTATGACTCAGGATATATAATGTACGTAGGTTGTATGGAAAATGTTCAAGTATATACATAATATTACCACAGTGTAAAGAGAGTATATTTAAACTGTGTTATCACGTTCTTAGCTTACTCTACCACTACATATAAAATTTTTATTACTCCATAACTGTCTCAGAAATGAGAGCACACCTGTGTCCAACCGTGGGACATAAAGAGGCTGTAACTTTATTTAAGTGTCATATAATTAAAACTGTGAGTGAACTATAAGAGTGAAATAATATCAACACACCTGACGCCATGGTAAGCCAGCAGTGTGAGGCGATGTTCTTTGGCTGTTTTATACCTTGAGAAAGCAGTCCACACATGCAGTGTCGGTACAAGCGCCCTTAACATGGGCAAATCCGACTGCATTGCCCAAACGACAAGACCCGCTAAAATAGACAGCTGCATGTCCAAAGCCAGCTGATGGGTCTGAGGGGCGCACTGAAACAACGACATCTTCTATTAATTCTGTTATAGTTTTGAGTTAATAAGTAGATTAAGTGTATGCTGTTCCCAACATACGCCTACATCTGCCCTTGATTAAGTATCAGAAGTATATGCGTTGTCACCTACAATGGCTCATTACCGGATATATATCCGTTTAGGAGTATCCGATTCTCTACACTCACCATACGCAACACAGCAACCTTAAGTGCTATTTTACGCTGGTATTCGGTGAGAACGTGGTTCTTCCCCGGCTGAGCCGGACCATTCATACTGCAACCTTAACCTTTTCGCTTACAATTGCTATTGTGTATGAAATCAGACAGTGAAAGTATTAATACACATTACTCTCAGCTGTCTCTCGGTACTACAGTCTGTCTCTTTCAAGTTGCTAAAATGCAACGTTACCGCCACGTTTTACGGATGACGCAGGATTAGTATCTCGCAACACAGACTCCGTTTCCATTCACATATTTGTCTGAACGTTAACTTAACCAATGGCATAATTATGTTATATTGTTAATTGACAATTGTCACTAAATATTTAATCTTAACTTACCTATGGCTTAAGTAGTCTCAATATATATCAATACTCTTAACGGTAAAAATAGTAATTATAGAAAAAACGAATGCGTTAAATAGCTTACTATAAAAACCTCCTCCTCGCTTTTTTGTTTTTTTTTTATATAGAATTAGGGTGACAAACGAGCAAACAATCCACCTGATGGTAAGTGGTTGCTGTGGCCCATAGACATCTACATCTATCTTCGTTTGCAAATTAAAATGCAGATGTGTAGTCAGCCGTGAGAACTAAGATAGAATGCTTCTTTTCCAGTAAAATAGGTCTCCGGTTCTCTACACTCACCATATAAACACAGCAGCATTAAGCTGCTATTTTACGCTGGTACTCTGTGAGTGGTATTTGTATTTGTAGATGCATTATATGTAAATATTATATAGCCCATGTTACACTGACAATTAATATGAATAGAATAGAATGTACACATATATGTACACATTCTCGAAAAATATTACCCTTCTTCTGGGGCTGTGCGGAAAAAAGATTTCTGACGGTTGATTTCTGGATCTCGACAACAACGCTACCTACCAGGTCCAATTGTGAACCTAAACCATACAAATTTTCATCAAAATCGGTCCAGCGTTTAGGAGTTCAGTCACATACACAGACCGAAGAATTATATATATATATATATAATTCTTCTGTAATGTACACACACACACACACACACGCGTGTGTGTGTGTGTGTGTGTGTGTGTGTTTGTACTCATACAAACCTTTCTTTTAAATTATTCTGTCTATTGATGTAAGCCGCATCACAACTCGTTGCGTAGTTTAAAAGATTATAAGCGTACAGACGGCGGGAAAAGATTTTGTTTTATACTATGTAGAGATCAGTGGAATACTACCACTCTTTCCGGCTTACCTTGGAAGTAATAATAACTAACAGAATCGCCTGGGAACATTATTTTCTATGTGTAAAAAGTTTAATTTAAAACATATTTAAATGCGAGGCTTGTAAAATTATGTAAGTTTTTATTTTACAACGTTTTTATTAAGTCACTTCCTTGTTTGGAATTTAGTAGTAATTGATTTTCAGTAATTAATTTTCGACTAAATTTCCGATGAGCTGAGCATGAAAATTTGAATATAGCTCAAGTTTGGATCACATCGCAAAACTATAAATAAACGTGGTATATAAAAAAAAATTAAAAAAAAATCACTTGTTTATTTTACATTTTTATAAATTTGAAGGTAATGTAGCTTTTACTAAATTGTAGCTTACTCTGTAGTGCCTTAGTGAAAGTGGCGGCCAAAAATCAGAGTGCACAGTTAAGGCAAGGTACTTCAGGTTGGGATTTAATTTTATTAATTATAAGATCCTAAGCAGATGTTAGCACCCTGTCTCTCTCTCATGAGAGCACATTCATAAAGAATCTTGATACACTTGATACACTCTTAAATCTTGTTGTGTGTATGGTGTATGTTGCATACTATATTCTGTCGTAAAAAAGCGTATATATTTTCCATATTCATTTGAATAATTAAAAGCGTTATAAAATTAAATAAATTTATACTACAAACTAATAAAATGATCCAAGTCGATCATTACTGAGAATGGAGACAGCAATAAATTCGACTATATCAAAATAACGTTTAATTATTTTAATGTTAACGAAGATTAACAGTAAATCTAAGCTTTAATGAAGTACCATTTTAGTAATGAGTTTCTTTGTGCAAAACTAGCTATAGACTATTAAATTTTCATTAATATATTCAAGATAATAATGTATTCTTTAGACGAAAAATACTTTAACTTCTTTGGCACCAATTAAATTGTTAATAGCAATTTTCTCTAGCGGCCTATGAGGCAAACTATGGGTAGCTGTGGACTTTTGATAGACTTTAACGGTAATGATTTTAAGTCCTCGGTTTGACATAGGCCTCTCCAACAATACGCCAGCTGACAATCTTAAAAATTTTTACCAAACTCTTTCGAATAATTCTGAGTTCAGTGTTTTTGATAGTCATATACGACCTACTGGTCCGTCAGGCCCATTCGTCAATCAAAAGAACACATGCAAAGTTTCATGCTTAAAAAAGTTGGCATATACCCCTTACATTGCGTCAAAAGTACCCTTTATATAATAAAATTTTAAGCCCCTGACGAACAGTGGTGTGTTACGAGTTTGTAGCGGGTGTCTGTGAGTCGGTCTGTGGCATCATTGCTCCGGAACGGATAAACCGATTTTGATTTTTTTTCTTTCGTTTAAAAGGAGACTTAACCGACAGTGTTTTTAGCTATGTTTTAGCTATTTTTGTTTCGTGCTTTGGTTACCTTTGGCACAGATTAGATTATGTGCTACGCCTATGGAATCTATTCGTTTTCTTTAAAAATATCATATTATTGGCTTTTAAAAATACAGCAAAAAAAACTGTAGATGTTTGCGGAATTTCTTTTGTTATATTTCTCCGGGCAGAACCCACTTCAAAAATTAAGTTTTCATTACATTTCACGTCTGGATCGGAAAAAACCTCTATCCTTATAAAAAACTTTTTTTTTATAGGATAAGGGTGACAAACGAGAACACAGTCCACCTGATGGTAAGGGGTTGCTGCGGCCCATAGACATCTACATCTATCCTCGTTTGCGAATCAAAATGCAGATGCGTTGTCACTCGTGAGAACTAAGATGGAATGCCTCATTTCCAGTAAAAAGGGCCTCCGGCCACCTGCACTCACCAAACAAAACGCAGAGGTAAACCTCTACTTCACGCTGGTATTCTGTGAGGTGGTACCACCCCGGTTCGAGCCGGCCCATCCGTGCGACAGCAAAGGCTGCCGCGTGGCTCTACCACTGTTAAAAAATACCAAAAATCAAACGGAACTTTTTTTAAATATGAATTTACAATATAATATGTTTGTAGACTTAATATTGAAAACGTGAGGATCAGCATCGTCGCGATGACCTCACACACAAGAGATCCCCATCAAGTACCTATTTCTTATTAATTTAATAACCTTTAATAAAAAATTACACTTTTAACAGTTAAGTCCAGCATATTTTATCGGACTTGGTTATTACATACATTGCCTCATTAAGGAATTCCTGATTCTTTGGAGTTGAATAAATAGTATTATTAACTTTTTCTCGTACTATTCACTATCATTGCGAGTCTTAAGAAATCACTTCATTATTCTGAGAGCGGCATCGGAATAGTCCGAACAACTAACTTGTATCAGTTCTAACGCGGACTTTCCTGGAATTCTAATGACATAATTATACAAGACTACCTACGTAAACTAATTTTATTTTTACCACGCATTATTTTGGAAATTCCACTTTGTTTTACGTTATTGACGTAAAACTTATACTGGTTATTTTAATCAAAGTATACATTTTATTTCTTTTTTTTTTATTGGCCAACTGGTTGGCCCTAAAAAATAGAACCGATTCGATGTGTGTATGTTTCGCGATATCTTCGTTAATTTGTGAAGCTATTTTGATGATTCTTTTTTATTATTTTTTTAAATTTTTTTTTTCAGGTGTGGTCCAATAAGAAGGTGTCAAGGAGATAAAAATATTTCTATTTAAACAGGGCTATTTAGACAACATTGAGATTGTGATATACCTTAGTCCAATTGAAAGTGTAAAAATTAATTAACTTATAATAAAAAGTGAAAGCCGACTTGAAACAACTAAAAACATCAAAATAATTAGCACCTACTATAAAAGTACCTACTATAGCACAGCATAATTAAAAAACTGAAAATATGTTTTTTATGATTATCTCAAAATCAAAACTATTATAGTTGATATAAAAAATGTTATCGAAAAAAACTTTTTTCTCTTGCAATCTTACTCAAAAAACTCATCGAACTGTTTTCTAGCTTTTAAGATTTTGGGGCAAAATCTGACTTTAACTTTTTGTTTTAACTTCAACACCATTTTGCAACGAAATTATGCGGACGGCAGAATAATATTGTCTTATAAGCGTTATAAAATATCTGCAAAGTCATAATATTGCGGTTGCATAAATAAATATAAGATTAATTTCTTGATTGTTAAGAACCATCGGGCTTAAAATTTTAGTTGATTCTGAAAAATATCTGGGCTGCAATAACTTTGACAAATAGAATTCTAACGAAATATTGCTGACGCACTTATCCCGAAAAAGACAACTGCAATTCCAACTCTTTCCACTTATATAAGAATTTGACAAAATTGTCATTACGTATTTATTTTCCCCATTTTCTCCCCAGAAAATTAGCAGTAGCAAATATAAATCGTATCGAAAAATATTTGCACTCGTTTCAGATTACAAGGAAGAAACAGAGGAATGTTTTTGTATGGACTAAACGCAGCCCGGATATCCTTTCTAAGTTTAAATATCTTAATAAACTAACCATATCCTCAAATCCGAAGTAATTCTGCAAGTATAGAACATTCCACCACCAGCCTTCTTGACACACCTCCACATTTTTCGTTACAAGCGCTCCCCACATGGGTCCGATAGAAACGTTGTTCCAAATATATGCATAGAATACCAGCACAGCAAGCAATGCGGGGGTTAATCTAAAAGAAAAGAATACAAATTTGTAATTATTATTTACAATTTTTGAAGTTATACTTCTTTTGGGGCGTTTGGGTAAAATTATGAGAGTGAATTTTTTACGATGCGCGCGCACACCGACACCTAAAAACAACACCATGAAGTTGTTACGATGCGCGCGCACACTGACACCTCAAAGCGACAACTCCATTGTGTAACTGTCTCTCAAGTTTTCGTGGGAACTAATAACTATGATATTTAAGATTGTTATTTATAGTTATTTTTACACACACACGTTTTTTTATTCCACACATAATGTAGATGAAGCTTGCAGTGAAAAGTCAACAGAAAACATTGAAATTAACTTGGAAATTTGAAGGTGACTTGCTAATTACTGATTTTGTAGCCAAACTCGTTCTTAAAAAAATCTGTTACAGCTATCTTTACAAGTTAGTATTTAAAATAAATGAACATAACAATTAGTCACTTTAGTCAAATAATAGAAATAATGTGTTACTAATGTTTAGCTGCAACAGTGCAAAACAAAATAAGAGAATCCAAAATTTGGCCGGACCTAAAAACCTAGTGTTATCTGTGAATGTCAATGCTAATGCAATACATTGTTTTTATAGACAAGATACAGTCATAGATTTTGTTACTGGTCAAACGTTCCGGCGTTCCGTCAATTAACTAATCTGTGGTTCCGTTCTGAAGAGTGTAACGATCTAATATAATTTATTGACTTGAAGTTGGCTGCAAATGTCCTTGGACTCCAGTGCCACTAGGTGGACTTATTCTTATTTTTAAAAAACGGTTCCTCCACACTAGGATTTTCACCTGTATCGTGGGGGCAGTTTACGTACATAAATTTCACAAGGACAAACATCCAAACCCGGAACAATTATTTGTAGGCCATACAAATACTTGTTCCGTGCTGGATTCGAACCCGCGGCTCTTAGCGCAGCAACTCATTGCTAAGCCACTGCGCCATGGAACCGGAGCCGGACTGTTCATTTATCACTTAAATTTTATTAAAAAAAAATCTCATGATTATAGGGAACAACAAACAATAATTTTTTTTGTATTATGATATAATTTATACCTAAATTAAATTCATTGGCTATTTTTATTACAGGATAGGGTGACAAACGAGCACACAGGCCACCTAATGGTAAGTGTTTGTTGTGACCCATAGGCATCTACATCTATCCTCAATAAAGAATCAAAATGCAGATGCGTTGTCACTCGTTAGAGCTAAGACGAAATGCCTTTTTCCAGTAAAAAGCGTCTCCGTTTCTTTTCACTCACCATACGAAACACATTAGTGTTAAGCTGTTATTTTACGCAGGTATTCCGTGAGAGTGTGGTCTTTCTCCGGTGGAGCCGACCCATTCGTGCTACAACTATACTACTAATATAGCTGCAGCATGGCTCTATCACGACTAAATAAAAGTACGTATTCGTAATTCGAACGTATAATTCGGGCGAACCTCAATGTTTCAAAAAAAATTACAGGACAGCAAGAAAACATTTACTATTCCTCGATTAATAGCTTTTTTTCATCAGACAATTAATCTTATTTGTAGTTTCCCATTAAGTCTAATATATTTAATTTTCTGTGGTAATTTTACACGAGGTAGAGCCATGCTGCTGCTATATTAGTATTATAGTTGTAGCACGAATGGGTCGGCTCGACCGGGGAAGGACCACGTTCTCACAGAATACCAGCGTAAAATAGCAGCTTAACACTGCTGTGTTTCGTATGGTGAGTGTAGAGAACAGGAGACCCGTTTTACTGGAAAAGAGGCATTTCGTCTTAGCTCTAACGAGTGACAACGCATCTGCATTTTGATTCTTTATTGAGGATAGATGTAGATGCCTATGGGTCACAACAAACACTTACCATCTTAGTCCTCACGAGTGACAACGCATCTGCATTTTGATTCGCAAACGTGGATAGATGTAGATGTCTATGGGCCACAGCAACCACTTACCATCAGGTGGACTGTGTGCTCGTTTGTCACCCTATCCTATAAAAAAAGCGTAACAATCAAGAACCATATGTGATAGTAGATTTTGGCATCAGAGGTGCCTGAACTGAAAAAATGGCGCAAATCGAGTCTGTGTGAGATGACTATTTATTTGTGCTATTTGCTGTAGATACTGTTGGTCCGTGCGGTTCACTTATGGTGAAGTTCCAAAAGGAACTGTACCTGCGACTTGTTGTATCCGCTGGTGACAAGGGGCCTGGTTGTTTTCTCGATCAAAGACTTAGTATAGCCATTCACATTCAGTGACGAAACATAACCAGCATACCACAGGGACTGTCTGATCGTTTTTGTTTTTAATTTTAGTTTTTTTTTAATTTTTTTAAGATGTATATTTTTATGAGTAAATAAATGTTATCTATAAAAAAAAGTAACGTTAAGAACTTTTTATTTATTTACTAGTACTTGTACATAAGATATTGTGTTTTACGCTAATTACTTCAGTGTACTATGTTATAATTGAAAATCACATTACACTTAAAACATTATAGCGATAAAAACAATTAGCAATTAAAAACCTAAAAGCATTACGGGATTCTCGGGGGACATTGCTGCCAACTTAGCGATCTAGTGCCAAATTAGCTCGTGACTAGACATTTTTTTAGTTCATTTTTCCATATTAAATCATAGTATATGATAATCAATCTATCTTGTACCTTTTTAAGTAAATGTTTTATAAAATTTAATTATAAACGAACTAACAGTTGACCTGATGGCAAGTGGCTACTTTCTGCAGTGACAGTGCCTGCAACCAACTTCAAATAAATAGGTAATGCTACAGATGCGTTCTCATCTCCGAGGACTAAGATGTAATACCCCACAACCTGTAATTATGCCGGCTCTGTTAATCCTTAGAACTTAACACAAGAGTTGTCTATTTTACCCTGTTCGTTTTTAGGTACTAACCAAAGCAAAGACTCCTAGAAAGTAACGAAGTAACATAATTATGTTATTACATTAACCGAATAAATGTTGTATTTACCTAAAGCGTAAGAAAAGTTTGAAAATGTTTGTAACTTTTACTTTCGTCCTCTTAATACAATCATTTCTATCATTACGTTTGAGCAATGCAACCCTACATTGTTTCAACGATAATTTTAGTATAAAATGATTTAGAATAGATTTGCAATGCAAAAGAGAAAGAGCATAGTTTCGCGTATATTAAAGTGAGAAAGATAGGCGAGACCATTCACGTACACGCTATCGGCCTGTATCGATCTGGCGTAATTCGTGAACAAAACAAATTTCCCTTGCATTTGCAAAAACTGAGGATTTAAAGTGAAAACTAGTGTTAAATAGAGGTCATTTATTATGACTGCGTGCGTAGTGCCTAAACAACGTCACAAAGAAATCCCCCATTATTATACATTTAACCCAATTAACGATTAACGATTGAAATGCTTAGCTGTCTAAATGCTATGTTTTTGAACTATTATCACATTTTATAATGTTACTGTTATATATACATAGGAATTGAATTTAACTACCACATAACTTCACTATCGATAATATCGAAATGTCCCTAACTGGTAAAGGTATGCTTTGCAGTTTAGAAGTTGGATAAGGCTGCATTATTCAACTTCTTAGTATTCTTTAAATTTTATGGTTCTGTAGCTAAATTTTTTTTTCCTATCGTATGATTTTTTAATTAGAATTAGAGTGACAAACACAATCCATCTTATGTTAAGTGGATGCTGTTGGCGGATTTTCACAAAATATTGATGTTCGACAAAAATGGTTGAAAATAATAAAAAAGAGAGAAATGGTTTCCCAATAGAAAATATGCGATTTTATTGTAGCGTTCTTTATTTGAAGTTAGCTGCAAGATTCCATGGGCTGCAGTAGCCACTTACCATCGTCAGGTGAACTGAAAATTCATTGCTTACTTCAGTTTTATAAAACATTAACTAATAAATCCTTCTACAGTTAAGATTTTTTATAACATGTATTTTCGGAATGTCGAGAATGTTCTGAATTACACCTTTAATTGGATACCGAGACACGATTTTTCAATATTTATTTCATTTTGGGAGTACTATATGTCCGCAATAAGATGCCATGATAGTGTTTATGTGACTTCATACAGCCGAAAACCCGCGAAAGTGAAAATTGCTTCTAAATATATCTAATTTTTCAAAATACGATGAGTAATTTCGAAGATCTGGGGGAACAGATGAACATACATATATACCATAGCCTTCTAAAATCGTAAAACATTATTTTTGTTTCCCCGTAGTTGTGTAAAAATATTCACTTAAATTATCTGTGTCAAATTAGAAGACTCGAATATAGTGCAATCGGTATCGATAAAATTGAAGTTAAGCAGGTAACGCATGGTGCAGCACTATTTGTCACTCACACATGCACATCACACGCACACTGGTGTATTTTGATTTCGGTCTCACCCTAATCACTCCATTTCTAATCCAGTATACTCATATACTAAACATATCTATGGTTTTAACACTCTTTCGAGTTACAATGTCGTATGGGGACTGACATTGTTCGTTTTGAACTGGCGTAAAATTTTAACGCCTTAACTTTGTAATAGATGAATAAAATATTACCTATAATACGCTGTTTTTCTTTCGGCATAGGTGCCAAGAAATCAAGAAGCCGAACTTTTAAAATTAAGAAAAGCACTTTAGAGCATTTTGAATTAAAGTAACTATTTGAAAAACTAATGCTAATAAAGTCACAATTAAATAATTAGTATAAGCATGATCTATGATAAAATAACATGAATTAGTAATTTTGGCTAGTAATAACAATCCTATTAGACCAAATACAAATATATTACCTAAGATATCTGGACAAGATCCTTTTAAATGCTCCAGAACCTTTGTCACTTGATATTCGATGCGCCGTAAGTGTCCCGCTAAGTAGTAAAAAGCAGTCAGTGAATATCCAGCCCGCACGGCACCATGACCAGAGTGGTGAACTCACAACCTGCACACAAAAAGTAACTTTACTATTGATTACTTACTATATAAACTTATGCTTTGCTACAAAACTAGATGATAGTTACTGTTGACCCTATTTAATTTAAATTTAATGGCAGCGGAAATACAACTACCACTTCATTTCAGCCATCAAAAAAATGTAAGATTTCCGATCAAAAAAAAAAGGTTTTCGATGGGGAGCCATACAACCATCCTGTTAACGCCAATGTACCTCGACCGGCGATGAGAAGCTACTTCAAAGGTCGAGACGTTTGCCAACGGTAGCAATTATGGCGAAACCTGCAACGGGAGAGGCACATATACAACAATGAACCTAAATCGTACTGGCTTACCCTAACAAATATATAAGTAAACTAGCTGACCAGGCAGACGTTGTTCTACCCTTTCCTGAGATGACCCTTTCTCCAATAAAAAAATAATCCTTAAATTCCTAATAAAAATATAAAGGGTTATTTATCGGGATAAAAACTATCCTATCTCTCAAGTTGGACCAAACTGCACACAGTGTGCAAAATTTCATTGCAATCATTTTAGTAGTTTAGGAGTTCATCGCGGACGAACAATGTGCACGTAATTTTTATATATATAGATTATTTCATATCTACCGATTTTTTTGTAGGCTTTTCAATGAGAAAAATCATCATTATCATTACAGTCTATAAAAATCTACTGGTGAATATAGGCCTCCCCCATAGATTTCCTCGTAGTGTGGACATTATGGCAAATATAGTTGCAATGCTTGGCAGAGGCATTGGCATCTGCAGTTTTTAATTATTATCTTGTTATTAATAAAACCGTACCGTGTATCCATATCACCCCGAGGATGTCGTAAGAGGCGACAGAGGAACTCATCACGAACAAATCAGAAGATGGGCAGCAGCGTATTCTTAATACCCCTAATATCGACTAAAAATAAAAAACTGCGGTCGCCAACCCACTAGCCAATCGTGGCAACTATGGCAAATATCCCATTATATATCCCCTTTAAACAGCTGCAGCGTGGCTCTACCACGTAAAACTGGCGATCACAAATCCAGACATCTCGCACTTTCAATGCTGCTCCCGTCGCCGATTTAGGTATACGATTTTGGTATTACGTTTAGCGTAAGCAAGTTTATACAGCCGTCTTAGAGGGGATGAAATATCTTTGAAATATTCAACAGTTGCTTCTTATCGCAAATGCGGAATCAAATAGCGTAACGTATCTTTTATGCCGCTAACAGACGAGATCAACAAACCATAAACAGTGCAAATTTTAATAATTAACCTAACCAAGTTTGTGAAAACACCAAACAGCCCTAAGGTAAAATTGAATTCTAATCACACTACTAGGGTTACGCCATTCTTTGATACATTAGACGGTGGGGCTTGCCGTCACTGGGCTGAATATTTACTCGTTATTCTTAAATATTCTGTAACAGAACTAGCTCAGTTACTAAACATGGGTCCCTCCAAATATCGGAAGGATTTCCCTTAATCGCTACGTTGACAGGCTGGTTAGTGATCGCCATATGTAGATCTGGATATTTCACATGTGGCAAATACAAAATGGTATACCACCATCTAGTGTAGTGGCGGGTAAGAATACCCACTACCCCATATCTTCCCGTGGGTGTCATAAAAGGCGACAGAGGGAAACTGAAGCAAAAGATGGGCAGCAGCATCTTTCTGATAATAGCATATTACAATAAAAAACTTCGGTTGCCAACCCGCTCGCCAAGCGTGGAAACTATGGCAATATATCCCCATGATGAGAATAACAAAAAGACGGCACCCAGTCCCCGGCGGACTCGCTATTCCTGGCCACGGTGGTGACCATGGTAACGACGGGGCAGAGGGTGCTAAGAATCTGCGGTGTAAGTTCGGTTATCACCTAAGACGACTCGACCTGACAAAGTATAGTGCACGCACCTTGAGGACTGACGAGAAAATACTGGAGCTGGAAAAAGAGATGGACACGATGCGCTGGAATATTATAGGATTATCCGAGGTCCGAAAAGAGGGGTAGGACCCGATAATCCTCGAATCCAGCAAATTGTTTTGAGAGGGCGACCATCTGTCCTAAAGAGGTGTCGGATTTATCGTCCACAAGTCTATCGTTAACAACGTTGTAATCATTGGGAGTGTGTCGACGAGGGTTGCACACTTTATACTCAGAATCACCAAACGGTATTCGCTGAAGGTCATACAGGTTTCGGCACATCTCGATGAGGAGGTGGAGGTAATGTATGAGGATTTCTCTAAAGGCATGCATTCCTACAAAACCCACTATACAGTGTTAATGGGAGACTAGGCGCGAGAGAGAACGGTGAGCAAAAGCTTCGGAATAGGGCAACGGAACCCAAGGGGCCAGCGGCTGGTCGACTTCATGGATAAAGAGGGACACTTTATGATGAACTCTTAGCTGGTCGAGCCCCAACAGTTCGACCAAAAATGAGATTGAGTTCATTATGATGACTAGACGGTAACTGTTCGGAAGGGTGAAAGCTAGCAGCGATCACTGAATGGTGAGAGACACACTGAACCTTAACGTTAAGTTGGAGAGTCTAATGAAGTCTACGCTCCGTCCCCCTCCTGCTCTAATCAAAAGTGCAGAAATCTTTGAGCTTAAGTTACAGAATCGTTATCGGTGCCTAGAAAACTGAAATGAAGTGAAAGATATGAATAACAAGCTCATGAAAACTGTCATTTTATTCTTTTGGGAAATAAATTTCTCATACCTTTAGGACATACCTCAGGACTTTAGCTATTAGTTAGGAATTAGCTATTTTGTCGATATGGCCTCTGTTAGATCTATTTCTTATGATGACGATAAATATTACAAGTATAATATGACAAACTTTATGCTTAATTAATTTATTGATCCTAATTTCAAAACTCTAAATGGCTGAAAGGTTAATTATTCAAACTACCTCAACTAAGTCCAATAGCGTAACGTAATTATCCCTTTTGTAATTTCATTCGTCCGCAATTACACCTTTGAAATCAGATTTATCGTCAGTAAATGAAAATATTTACCATTTTTATTGAACTTGTTTACCAAAAAAGCTATAATGTTATACTACAAGGCTTATATTGACCACATGTGTTTATTTCATCATCATCATCATCATTACAGCCTATGAAATGTCTACTGCGTAACAAAGGCTTCTCTGAAAGATTGCTTCATAGGGGGATATAATATGCTATAGTTGCCACGCTTGGCAGACGGGTTGGCAATCACAGTTTTTTTATTATTTTAGAAGCTATCAGGAAGATACTGCTGCCCATCTCCTGTTTCATCCTCCTCTATCGTCTCTTAATCTGGGTTCTATTTAGCTGCCACTACACGGCACCTGTGTGCCTCTTTAAAAGAATATATAAATATTCCGAGTCCTTAAGACTATTTCATAATTAAACTGGAATATAGAAATGAGTGGGGTACCGAAGCGTTGATTTTATTTTTTACTAAATGCTAGGTAACGGCCTTCTTTGATCAGCGCCGAGCACGTACTATATCAGAAAATTTAGCTTCAGCTTAATGCTGCTGTGTTTCGTATGGTGAGTGTAGAGAACCGGAGACCTATTTTACTGGAAAAGAGGCATTCCATCTTAATCCTCACGGTTGACAACGCATCTGCATTTTAATTCGCAAACGAAGATAGATGTAGATGTCTATGGGCCACAGAAACCACTTACCATCAGGTGGACTGTGTGCTCGCTTGTCACCCTTATTCTATAAAAAAAAATTACCATTGCAGTTTTTATTGATGTCATCATCGACTGCTCTATGTATTTATTTACACAGTAAATTTATTTAGTCTATTATTTATTATGCCAGTATCCGAAATATGGTCTTATAGTCCAGTTATTAGCAAATTCTATAATTATGCACCAAAATGACGCATATGCACAATATGCCCATGTTAGTTTATTTTAAACAGAAAATCACATGGTTTGGAGCTGGTAGGTAGCGAGTCGATCGAGTTAGTAATAATAATAATTTTATATTGACACTGTTAAAGATCCGAAGTGAATTTGAAGTGGAACTCATTGTGCCACCAGCCGGAAACGACAGCGCAACATCTGCCGAGCAAGCTAGTACCAGATAAAATAAATTAAGATAAAGATCGGAAAGCAGTCGATAACTGTTCATAGAATTTATTTTATTTTTTAGAATATAATAAAAAGTTGAACTCGCTTAAACGATTTATAGTATCTTGCCTGAATTTCAGATTAGCTATAAATATTTTATCTGTATCGAACAACGTTGACGAGGAATCATTGTTACGAGATGCCTTGATGGGAACAAGCTCAAATCTTTCGTCGGGATTTACGATACCTACAGATGTCAGATATGAGAGCAGTCCGAAAACTTTTGCTCCTTCCTCCGTTTAGTTTAACATAAATAAAAACACGAAATCTTTCAGATAAACAAAGTTTTCGCTTTGCCAAACAATTTTGTTGCATATCCCAGATACGGGAAATAACTATCTGGCATGGTGCCAAGATTTCCGAACATAAGCGTGATGTCTTTCGTTTATAATCTAAGGTTTTACTTTAATTTACGATTTGAACTGTTCTTGATTTAGTGTTTAATAAAGTGTTTTAACATAAGTTTACTAAAACAGAGCATTAGTAAACTTAAGGAGCTACAAGGGCGGGTATTTTTCATTCAATGTGTCATGCGGCAGTGTGTGCACTTCTGAAGGATATAGAGCGTCACCAGTTAGGTACAGGCTGTTAGATATTTCATCTTTGGGGTTAGACGTGATGACGCATTTGTAACCTACTGAGTTTGAAGTTGATTGCAGATGTCTATGTGCTGCAATAAGCACTTACCACAGGACTATAAGTCCGCTTGTCACTTTAATTTTATATTAAAAAAATTCAAAGTCTAAATGAGGGCATCCACGACTTTTTCTGCCACATTTCATAGCGGGGACGATAATTTCGTAGGAAAATGTAAACTTTAATGTTTCTTTCCGTTGTATTGGTTATATTTTATATTAATTAGATTAGAAATTAATAAAAAAGTACAAAAACTAAAAAAAAAAGTTATAAAGTGCAAAGTTAAATAAATCAAACCACTGACGCATTTTGTTGTGTATTAATATAATACTCTAGATAATGATAAACTATTATTTAAAACTTATTTCTCAATTAACTGACATTTTGTAACAAAAACTTTACTTAAGTCACAACTAGCGACATCTGGTGAGTGGAACATTATTAGCCCTCATTGGCTGATTGCCACGACCTCTAATTTTTACTACCGCTAAGCAGCAGTACATCTACTGTTGTGTTATAATTTGTAGGGTATGTAGAACATAAATGTATAATAAAAGTTCAAAGCTACCATCGTTATTCTCTTCTTTTTCTTTTAAATTATGGCTTCTCTTGATAGAATTCTGCCAGTGTCAAGTCAGTATCGTTATTCTCAAAGAGATCAGATTATTTTAAATATTTATTTTTTACACGTTACCCACACAATCGGATTTACAACATTAGTTGCAAATGGACACATATCAGTTGGATAGGATGACTATTCGTGTACAGAACTAGAGTACGAAGTCTCTAGTTTGTACTCGAGTAGCCATCGCAGCCCTACTGTAAATTATACCTACTTATTATTATATTGTATTATATCTTGAGTTTTACGACATAATATACGCCTGATTTTCGATTGTCTTCCTATTCAGAATGATCAATCTATCCAATATTAAGGTTGCATGCAACCCTCACTACATTTTTACCCCTGAAAACAAAGTTGGAATGCCCCATTAACAGTAACAAGGGTCTACCTTTTGTATTTTCTTTTTGTTTATTACTTTATTTCGATCTGAGGTCATTTCGTTTTTGATACATTAAGTATATAAAAGGAAATCCTTGCTTAGTATATACTTTGCATTACTACAATATGTCAATTTTCGGCTTCTTGGCTCATAAGAAGTAGTAAAAGGTACCATTAAAAAATTTTAATATTATAATATGGATAAACTTAGAAAATCCAATAGTTCTATCTATCAACACGATAAGTTTAATTTGAACCAAAGGAATATACCATTGGGGTTTCAAATCTTTACCGGCATCACAAAAATTTGATGATATTGATTTTATATTAATTATTATCTAAATACACATCTAAATACATAGCGCGGGAAACACTTTGATTCTAGGTGACAATATGGGCTTTATCTAGAAGACGTCAAAATCGCTGCTAAAGCATATTTACTACATAGACTAAAATTAAATGTATTGTTATAAAATGGTTTACCGTATAGTGGCGGTGTAAAAATATCTACTATCACATATCGCCTCGTAGCACGCGATTCCATCCATACCATCTGGATGATTGGCGGTCCACCACTGTGCGATTTAGAAGAAGTTTTCTTCCTCGCACAACTTCCTTGTGGAATCGATTACCACCAGCGATATTTCCGGACCGATACGACTTAGGGTCCTTCAAGAAAAGAGTCTACTCCTTTTTAAAAGGCCGGCAACACATCTGCAATTCCCCTGGTGTTGCAGTTGTTCATGGGCGGCGGTAGTCACTTTCCATCAGGTGAGCCCCATGCTCGTTTGCCTCCTCTCCTATAAAATAAAGATGGGTAGCAGAATCTTTCTAATACCTAATAGCAAAACTACTAAAAAGAAGCGGTCGCCAACTCGTTTGCCAAGTCTGGTAACTAAGGCAATATACCCTTCATGACAAAAGGTACAAAGAAACGGCCCCACGTCCCCTGCAGCCCCGCTATTCCTGGCTACGGTGACGACCATAGTAAAGGCGGAGAAGGAGGTGCCAAGAATTTCCGGTTGAGGTTGTCCGGACAGTAACTGACGATCTTGGAGCTGGAAGAAGAGATAGACAACGTGTGGTGGCATATTATAAGATTATCTTAAGTCCAAAGAAGGGGGGGGGGGGAGACACGGTAATCTTCGAACTCAAAATAATCGTATTATTCGTTGATGGCTATGCAAGCTTACGCACCAATCTCAGCACAGGAGGCGGAGGAACCATATGAGGATATCTCTGGAGCCATGCATTTTTCCTAAACCCACCATACGGTGTTAATAGGAGACTACAATGCATAACTAGACACTATAGAAAAAAGTGATTAAGTAGGTGGAAATTCGGAACCACGGAAAAACGAAAGGGGTCAATAGCTGGCCTAATGGATGGTAAAAGAAGGATTCTTCATGATGAACTCGTTCTTCTAGAAGCGGCCCCACAGAAAGTGGTTAACAATTTTATATTTATGTTCTGGAATTGGGAATAATTTTTGTGATTTCAGTTCAAGCCGTTCGCGGTCAGGGCCAAAAAGTTAAAACTCAAAAATTCTTCATAATTTTTAAAATCATTCTTGGAGGCCGAGGGGCCCCTTTAGCTTGGGGGCCCTGGGACACTGCCTGACACACCTAGTTCCTGTGTAGCTACTTAGCAAAACGTTTGCAAACCACCACCCTTAATAATTATTTTACGTAATTTTGATCACATTTAGTTTAAAATTTTCCATTAAAACGTATCTAGCCTAAGCTAACCAGCAATTAGTTAATTTAGCATGACCAGCACGTACACTAACAGAACCCCTAAAACTTTCAAGCAATTATAAACTAGTTTTGTACAAATCCCACGACATATTAACAAATAAATATTTTATTCCTTAAATTAATTCTAACGCCTTACAGAAAAAAATAGCATTTAGCTTTCAAACTATATATTTAGTAGTTAAATTTGTTATTAAGAAAGCATTCATGTGCTAATAAAATAGCATATTGCAAAACATTATTTCTTTTTATTATTACTACCTAAATACTTACTATTATATATGTAATTTACTTCGTATTTTGAACTCGAATATTCCTCATTAGACCGTAAAATCCACACGTATCTCACCAGAAGTGTCGTACGCCTAACGATAGATGGCGGTTTAAATACATATACGCCAAATGTGAGAGTATTTAAAAATACCTAGAGTTGCAAAGAGGAGCAAGGTCAAAGGCGCGAGACGTCTGGTTCCAGCGATCGCCTGCCAAGCGTGGTGGCTATGACAAATTCTACATACAACTTTTTTTTTAAGAATACGTTTTATTAGGTGGCGGTCTAAAGAATATAGAACCAGTACAATTACAGGTTGTGAAGCATTCCATCTTAGTTTTCAGGTGTGACAACGCATCTATCCTGCATTTTTGAAGTTGGCTGCAGGTGTATGTGGACTGCCGCCCGAACTGGTTCCTGCATTATAGTGACTGGGGGGCTTAGTAGTCGTAACTTGGTCACCTCAGTAAACAAAGAGGAGCCCACTCGGCTGGCCCGAGGTGGAGGCCATACCGAGTGGGTTTGGCGAGCCCACTTCGGATGTGTGTTGGTGGGCTGCGACGAGAATGGTGTCCTCTCCCCCTACCGCTGCAGCCGAGGTGGAGTCGCGGAGGAAGAGGAGTGTGCGGATGTGTGCGAAAGCGTTCCCGTGACCTTGTTATAGTTTATTGTTATTAGAGATTTTCCAGTTTGGCCTTAGGAGGCCCGACCTGCACCTGCTTGTAAGGTCTTTCGCTATGAGCCCATAAGATTCTACTCTTAGTTAGGCAGCTGTAGGCCGTAATAAACTGGTAGCAGAGCGTGGTTCCGGGTTCGATTCCGCGGTCGATCCCGACCATAGATTTTGATAAAAATTAAACACTTCTGGTGACGGCGAAGGTAGAATACCAAGGAAACCCGTCCTTGCTCCCGCGAGGCCGTAGGCATTTCTCCATGTAAAAAAGGCATGTGCAGAAGCTTAATTTCATAGAGCATAACGTAATAATTTGGATATGTTAGTATCTTACCTCGCTTATCTTCACCCTGTTTGTGTAAGGCGTGACGGCAACAGGCAGAAACTTATGAGCCACCAACAGCGCAACAGTGGCAATCGCACGAACTCCGTGTATGCAAGAGATCTCATCCGATGTTGCTGGAGCAACTAGCTTTTTGACCGTACGGTAAAGTGAGAACGCGCTTATTATGTTGTCATCTGTAAAGAACAAATTTTGAATCACGTAATTGGAATCAAATAAATAGTAATCGTAGGCTATCCAGCCTATCTGTTCGCTATACACGTGTTTGGGTTCGGCAGTTCAACATATATCTTCCGCGATCACTTATACAACGTATTAGAATTTGACTCATATTTCTACTTATATAAATATATCTTTGGAATAGACTTCCAAGTTTTAAAGTCAAAGTTAAATATTTTCATTATAAACTAACTATTCCTTGCGACTTCGCTCGCGTGTTAGTGTTTTTATTTTTTTGCGCGGAACTTCAATTCTTTTTCTAAAATAAAAGTGGCCTAAGTTATCAGCGATCTGCCAGTGAAAGTTCCGTCAAAATCGGTCCCGGAGATTCGCCGGAACAAACACACAGACAGACTGACAAAGATTAAAAAATATTGTATTTTAGTTATAAGTACCGTATTTACTTTCATATGCATTTAGTAAAAAGCTGTAATTTTGACATTACAAACAGACACTTCAAATTTATTTATTGGTATAGATAATGTACGTGAGGGTAATATGGTCACCTTAAGCTTTGCCGCCCCTATTAAACCAAAACTAGGAGGAGGACAGAGGCAAATACACAATGTCGTATACTATAACTAATATATTAAGAACAAAAACAAACAAGCATTTGCAATATTTAGGAACACTTCGAAAAATCAACTTAAAAAACTGACTACACTACACACTATTATATCGACTATAATAACGAAAATGTCAACTGTCAAAGTGGAGTAAATAAAGCAGCGCTCTTTTGACCCTTTATTATTTCATTGACCGATGAAGTGCTATCGTATCACAGTAACATCTATGCAAACAACGCTGTAGTTTTTGAGTTATAAGAAAGTGACCATATTAACCGGATGACCATATTACCCTCACGTACTATAGTTAAATTGCGCCCTCTAGTGACAGCGTAAGCGAATCCACTACGCCAGAACATCTTTTTTACTTTTTTTATTTTTTAAACTGGCTTTACGGCTCTGGGTTCTAGCCCTTCTGAGCCTCCCCAGAACATCCCGTGGGTGTCTTAAAGGTTAGGTGACAAAAAGGAATAGGAGATGGATGGCAGAAAAAACTGTGGTTGCCAACCCGATTGCTATACGTTGCAACTCGATTACGTGGTAGAGCCATGCTGCAGTTTAAAGTAGTACAGTTGTAGCACGAATGGGTCGGCTCGACCGACGAATGGGTAAAGGTAAAAGGGTAAAATGGGTAAAGCCTCTGTTCCTCAGTAGACTTTGGATTGGCCGAAAAAATTAAACTCAATATCTCAAAGGTTATTTAGCCTGTTTTACTGATTAAATTATGTAAACAATATATTTTCATCACGATCCTCCATAAGTTACAATCAGATCCAATGTTAATTTTAGTCTGTTAATATATTTTTAAATAAATAATTATTTATAAACACATTTGTTTAATATGTATGCTCATAAGCAAATGATTTTTAATAATCGAATAAGTTTAAAAATTTGGCATTAAGTTTGTACATTATCGAGGTAATAACACACGAGTATATCACCTTAGCCACAGAATAAATAACATGCTTTACCGCCGCCGCAAGACGTATCGTGACTTCACGCGTCGCGAGGCGCATCGTGAAGTCGCACCGCTTTTGTATGCTGCGCCTACCGACGAAGTACCGCAGCGTCGCGATACGTCGCGCTACGCCGCGAAGCATCTGGAGGCGCAGCGTGGCGTAGCGCGACGCCGCGAGGCATTTTAGAATTATCTCAATAAAATATGTACCCTTTTGTGTAGTAAATAAAGTTATATTTTATATCACTATTCGCGTCGCATCTCGGTGTGAGCAAACCCTAACGTTATGGACTCGAGGTGTTTAAATAAAACCGTTGAGCTGGACTTATTCGACTTGTTTTGATATTTTACGTTATCAATGAGCCCTAACCAAACACTTAATGTATAGTATATACCATGGCGATGAAGGCTTAGTAATTGTGGCGGAAACGTGTTTTTAATTTTTATGAAAATGTCGATTATTTTATAGGTAAACCAAAAATGGGTAGATAATGAAAATTTTGTTTTTAAAAGGCTATATTATACTGCGTAATCTAGAACACTAATAACATAGTTAAGATTCTTTAAGACATATGTACTTTAGGTTAAATCGCTTTAATATCTCCAAGAACGAACAAAGAATAGCAAATGACGAATTAAAATAAGGATCATCCGCATCAACATAATGGTAAATTTAAATATTTATGCTTTGACTCTAACCATCCTGAACGCGGTTTCTTCGTTGTTTTTTTATTATAATGAATTCAAAAGAACTCTATTCAAAAACGCTGTTAAAAAAGCTTATAAATAAACGAGGATAAATCAAGAAATAAGTCACGCTTAAATTTGATGTGACGCAGAAGTGTCGTCAGAGCAATTTGCATAACAAATTACGGTGTTCGTTGATTTAGAAAAGAAGAAATCAAGTCCGAAATTTAGCCGCTTTCAAGTGCCTTAATTTTATTTATGAAAACATTAACTTTGTTATACAAACACAAGTGCTAAGTACATTATTTTTATGTATAATTTAAATTTTGAGAAACACTGGGTGTAACGAACATTTTTTGTGGATTAGGTTTTAAATTAAAGTTCTCCTCTCATTTCTAAGACCTCTGTGGAGAAATTTAATCGCGGCGCAGCAACAGTGCTTGCTGACACCACCAGTCTTCGAAATATTTTTATTCAAAGTCAATACATATACAAGCCTATGCGTGAAAAGTTAAAACTTCTATGCAACTATATGGTGAAAATAATCAAGTTTATAATCCATCACATCCTTTCTTACATCTTTCGATTATTCAAAAACTAATTTCTCTCTTAATTATTCGTATATTTAAATGTAAAAGTTGATATAATTATTAATCTTCGTGAGTCCATAAAAGTTTATAGCTGGACACCTCTTCAATGATAGATAGACTTATTTGTAACGCTTAGGAGGCATTAAAACGTGGTAGAGTCATGCTGCCGCTATATCAATTGTATAGTTGTAGCACGATTGGGCCGGCTTTGACCAGGGAAGGACCACGCTCTCATAGAATACCAGTGTAAAATAGCAGCTTAATGCTGCTGTGTTTCGTGTAGTGTAGAGGACCGGAGACCTTTTTTACTGGAAAAGAGGAATTCCATCTTAGTCATCACAGCTGACAACGCATCTGCATTTTGATTCACAAATGACGACAGATGTAGATGTCTATGGGCCACAGCAACCAAATACCATTAGGTGGACCGTGTGCTCGTTTGTTACCCTATCCCATAAAAAAAGTATCAGAAGTTAATCTGCTTCCTTTCGCTGGTCTGTTTATTTAAAGCACGGTGTAAAGTATCATGTCACAATATGGTGCTGTAACTAAACTATATTATGTAGATTCTCGTAGTTGTTTTTGAAATTTATTTAAAAGAAAAAAGTTGTCTATATTTATTAAATAATTTTACAGCTACGTGACGCAGTGGTTTAGCAATGAGTTGCGCTGAGGGCTGTTTGTTGGAATCCCGCGCGGAACAAGTGTTTGTACGGCCTACAAATGATTGTTCCGGGTCTTAATGTATGTTCTTGTGAAATTTATAAGTGTGGAGGTAACGTTTTGGAAAATAACGCAGCGGGCACCGTCGACGACTTACGGGTTGCCAACCGAGCCGTGCCCAGGGAGAGGCGGAATTCGCTTGGCAAGTCGGCGCCAACCCCCCTAAGGCCGAGCGGAGCTCCCTTGGGAGGGCGCCGCCCCCTACCATCTTATAGAGGCCTAGCAGCGACGGAGGCGCCCCCCTGCTCCTATTGTCGAGCATCCGATCATCGGGTGACGTCGTGCCCGAAGTTATTGGGTAAGCCGGTCCCGGCGAGATGAAGCATCGCAAAGAAGCGCCGCTGGTGCTACTCGTGCTTGGAAAGGCACCTCCAAGGAGACTGCCCACACCAGCGGCCCTGTCCGCACTGCCAGGGCAAAGACCATGCCGTGTTGTGCCTGGGTGCGAACGGCGCTTCCTCTCGGACTATACCTAGTGTAGAGGTAACGTTTTGGAAAATAAGAAATATTTTTAAAAAAGGAACTAATTTTAATGATAAATTATTTTCATGTGTGAATATATCCAGCTTAATTTAAGGAGGTACCACTGTTATGTTTAACGAACATTAATATTGACGCAAATGTGTGTCATAAATTCAACTTGCTTTATTAGTGGTATGCAAAAAAAAAAAACACCTTACACAATCAATATTATACGGCCTCAATATAATATACATTGAAGTTAATAATGTGTTAAACGTGATCGAAAAAGTACGGCCGACATTGTTTTATGTTTAATAATTACATCAGGTCGTAAACCAAAGTGGTCACAGGTCATGAACGTTGTAACGAAAATTATGTCGCGTGTCCATTGATTTCAAACGATTAGTAAACGTGACCGAGCCCGTTGCAATATTGTCTAGACCAGACATGTATAAGTAATTTATGTTAATTAACGTGTCATCGGTATTTCAAATCACTTTGAATCACAAACAGGCAGAATTACCGCGACCAGCCTTTGAACGAAGTGGGTTAAGGTCGGGGTTAGCTTCGGTTTGGGACCTATGTAAACATACAAAAAAAAATAATGAGTACTCACTTTACTATAACAATATGAATAATGATAAGATAAAACGAGAACTAAATTGATCTCAGAGTGCATTCGATTTCATATATAATTTTTTTTATATAAATAGGGTAACAAACTAGCACACAGTCCACCTGATGGTAAGTGGATGTTGTGGCCCATAAACATTTACATTTATCCTCGATTCAAAACCAAAATGCAGATGTACAACTGAGGTCTAAGATGTAATGCCTCATTATTAATTTATATTTTAACCACAGCCGTGGTGCAGTATAATAATATAGCACGAATGGTTTGGCTTGACCGCGACCGCGAGATTGATCTCACTAATACCAGCGTGACACAGCGGAATAAGGCCCCATCCTTTAAAACTTATTCAAATTCCCGTTCATTTTCTGTACACGCAGTAAGACTCTGGAATTCACTTCCAGACTTTTGGAGAAATCAAAACTAGTTTGGAGACATCTGCTATTTACAGTTTTATTATATGTATAGATATGTTTAATTATGATTATATATATATACGTGAAACGTAATTTTTATATATATATATATATATAAATTACGTGTCACGTTGTTTGTCCGCGATGGACTCCTAAACTACTGAACTGATTTCAATGAATATATATATATATCGTATGTAATTTATAATAACAAGGTGCACACTTTATTACCTTTGTAACTGGCCAACTAGAAGAAATTTCATTATGAGATGAGTAACGCCGCTGTACAAACTTTTCATCATGCTGTGTCCTATCCGTTGTTTGTATGTACATAAAATGTTAAATAAATAAATAAGCAAAGATAAAAGATATCATAGTACGCGGCCCCAAAGTTACATAACAAAATTAAAAAAAAACTACACAGACCTCTTTGTGTGTTTTATTATAAATATTTAAGGCGGTATTATCAATGCTTGACTATATTTGAAAAATAAGAACACTTGATGTAAGTACTAAAATTATACTATATAATGTTTATTTGTATTTGTTAATTGTATTTGCTAGCATAGAGATCCATTGTAATTACCGGCTGTGAGGCCATCTTGGGTCACAGAGGTGACTACGGATTTCTGTAGCCTTTATTTGAAGTTGATTGCACCTGTTCATGAGTTGTAGTAGACCCTTGCCATCAGGTGGACTGTAACTTTATTCTTATTCATTATTATTTTTTACGTGGTAGGGCCATGCTGCAGCTATATTAGTAGTATAGTTGGAGCACGAATGGGTCGGCTCGACCGGGGAAGGACCACGCTCTCACAGAAAACCAGCGTTAAATAGCAGCTTAACACTGCTGTGTTTCGTATGGTGAGTGTAGAGAACCGGAGACCCTTTTTACTGGCAAAGAGGCATTCCATCTTAGTCCTCACGGGTGACAACGCATCTGCATCTTGAGTCTTTATTGAGGATAGATGTTGATGTCTATGGGTCACAGTAACCACTTACCATCAGGTGGACTGTGTGCACGTATGTCACCCTATCCTATAAAAAAAATAAGCCAGTGCTTGACCACAATCGCAACTGGTGGTAACTGGTGATGCAGCTTTAGATGGTAAACCACACTTCTTAGCGTAATAAAAACCTATTCACTTTTGCCTTAAAGACGCCCAGATTGTATTCGGACGGAAAGATAGACGCCGGCAAATTATTCCACCTCTGCTGTACGCATTATAAAAGACGAAGCAAACCGTTTGGTTCTAAGTTCGTTTGTCACTTCAATTTCATAAAAAATACATTTACATTATGTACGCACTGGATATAATTTAATATAAGAGTGAGGAAAAGGAAATATTTTAATCACTTTTACTAATTTATATTTTTCATTACGTCATCTCTGTTACGATTTTGAATGTATATTTATTATTATATTGTTCCAGTATTTAATATATTATTGATTTCATAAAGAATTTAATTGCTGGATTATTTTGTTATTTGTAGTTCACTTTCCTTGACTCGTGTGATGTATAGACCTTGAACTAAAACCACTAACCAAATAGCTACACACAATCCAAAATTAGATCCGTCGGACGTTAGAACAACACTGTCGCGTGATTTTACGTTCTTAATCATTTACGCATAGAATGTCGATAAAATTATTTTTTATCGAAATAACTTTCATCTAATCCGATTTTTAAGCGACCTTTACTTATTTATGTATTTATTTTTGGTTTATTATTAACTACTTTAAAAGTTCAGCGTAGTTTTGTAGTCTCTTTTAACATACAATACACTTGACCAACAAAATATTAAAATTTCAACGAGACGCGACATTAGTTTTAATAAAACCCAGAATGGATAATTTTACTGAGTAGACTTGATTTTACCCGCGGAATCGACCGCGTGAAAACAAAAACGGTTTCTTGGAAGAAAAGAAAGCGTTCATAAGTTTGGTCGAAAGATAGAAGATAAATCAAATATTAGAAATTCAAAATATTGATGGAGTGACAAACAAAGATAAGGATTCTGCTAAGAAATATCATAGAGTTCTTAATTTCATATACAATTACTACAAATGTCTGTTAATTGAGGAATTCAAAATTTAAATATGTTAGAATTGAAGAAGTGCAAAAGAAGGAGTACAAAACCGGAGGGCGGCCTTCATAAGCTTCTGATTTCGTCACTTTTCTTTTTTAATTTAATAAAAACAGTTTTTCTTTATAATAAATGCAAAATCAATAAATACCATGTAAGACTAAAATATGTTTAGTATCATCTGTCATCGAAACTATCTTTTTTTTTATGAGACGCGGCAAACGAGCATGCGGCTCACCTGATGGTAAGTGACTACCGCCGCCCATGAACAACTGCAACACCAGAGGAATTGCAGCTGCGTTCCCGACCTTTTAGAAAGGAGTAAGCTCTTTTCTTGAAGGGCCTTAAGTCCGGAAAAATCGCCGGTGGTAAACTATTCCACAGAGTGGTCGTACGAGGAAGAAAACTCTTAGTAAAATGTGTATGGATGGTATTCGTATCGGGAGTTTTGCCGCGATGTGATGAAATTTGGCGGCTGAGATTATCTGCCGAGTAAGTGGTTATCTATTCGTTAAAGAAACTGATAGAGTTATTCTCCCGGTAGTCAAGCTATTCGTTGGAAAATGCTTATCTACTGATTGAAAAATTAATTTATTTTTGCTATCTGTCGAATAAACACTATGTGTTTATCTGAGGGATTTAAGAATCAGTCCATAGTATAAATATAATGTTTATATAATACCTGGTCTTTGTTTGTCATCTGCAGTTTTTTCTTCATTTTCCGTATTAGTTTTATTATATCCTGGCCTTTCTTTTGTTGTGTTTGTATTACTTTCCTCCACTTTCCTTTTAGCAATAAAGTCCTGAGCGGTTGCTATCAGCACTAACAAAATGACGACACCATATATCGACCTGCGTAAAGACAAATTTATTTATTTCTCCAAATGCCAACCTCACACTGCCGATTGATGGACGAGAATTTGGTGACCGAGCTATATCGAAAAATCCTTCCAAAATGGTTTAACCCATATATCACGGTTGAGCCACGTACCAGAGTACTATTGTTTAGTGGTCCTTCCCCGGTTGACCTGATCCTTTCGTGCTACAACTATAAAATGGCTGCAGCATGGCTCTACCACTTAGGTACGTGAGGGTAATTTGGTCATCTTTGACTTTACCGCCCAACAAAACTAGGCGGAGGACAGAGACAAAAACACAAAGTTAATTAGGAACACTTCGAAATTTTACTAAAAAAAAAACTAATTACACCACCCAACACTAAAATCGACAAAAATATTTATCATACTGTCAAATGTCAAAATGGCGTCGATAAAGCCAGCGCCCCTTTGTCCCATTATTTTTTGATTGACCGATGAAGAGCTATCAAATCACAGAATTATCCATGCTAACAATGCTGTAGTTTTTATATTACACTCAGGTACTATAGTTACTTTGCTTTCGAGATATCAAAGTAAATAGTAATGTAAGGAAAATCGACTAAAAGGCGCGCGCTTTGACAGGCGCGCACTCTGTACCTAACACTTCCACTGTCCTGTTTTCAGACACAATAGTAAGACAATAGTACGACACTACAACGTACGAACCTATATGTAGTGCACGGGACAACGAAAGGGTGGTTAATCATAAATATTTCGATCGGCTGTGGCGTAACTGATATTGGTTAGGACAGTGGTCCTTATCAAAACACATCATGTTAATTTAATCAATTTAAACATTGTGGTTAAAATTTCGTCCACTTAGCTAAACTTAGGAGATTGTAATGCAGCAATATAGCGATTTTATTTCCTGCCATCTTTAATAAATGAAAAATTATAGTTTCAGCTACTAATAATATTATGTATAAACTTATGATATATTACTGCTTAGTGTAGTGATCGGAAACGCGGCACATGTTTCCGAGTTCGAATCTCGGGTTGAGTCAAAAATCAGTTAATGTAGCACCAACTCCGGAGTCAGGTGTTTCACCCCCGTGCCTCGAAAAGCACATAAACCCGTTAGCCCTGCGCCTAATCTCTCTCCGATGTGTCGGCTTGCCGTCCCATCGGACTATGAGAGTTCTATTGTCTACTAAGACCGGCCACCATTAGTAAAATTTGGTCTATAGGACATTATTGGCATGTACATGCCTAACATATTGCTAGCGAATAATTATTTACTATTAAGAGGCTGAGATAATAAACAAATAAAATTCAAGGAACTTACAACGTCAAAAGGGTCGGGATCCCCAGCCACTTTTCCCACCAAGCCTGTTTTCTTTGCATTTGGCAATCCCGATGATCGACTCTAACCCGTATTGAAACTCCACTACTATATTGATAATGCTTGATGGCATCTCTTACAATGCCCTCAACGTCTTCAGGACTGCATGGCGAAGGGACGCAGACTCCCCAACTCAGTGTTGAGAAACGTGGTACAAAGTGACCTGGCTGAACAAAGAATAAAAATAATTATGAAATTGTATTGACAAAAAACCTCACATACATACACCATTTTCTTTTATTGAAAATAACCAAACTTATAAATATAAGCAAAGGGAAATTAGAGATGAAGTTTTAAATGTAGCTACTCGTATTTAGAAGACACTAGAGATCATTTTACCTTTATTAACACTTTCTTTAGTATGTTAACAAATGAAACTACACATAAAAAAATTGAAAATGAAAATATTGCCAAGTAGCCTTTGGAAACATGTAACAAGCTTCTAACACAGGATTATTCTTACTTTTCAGGTATAAAACTGGCTTTATATATCCTTCGAAAGGAAATTGATCTGTCGATAGAAACTCGATGGTACATCTTGGTAGCAGTTATACACGCGGTAGAGCCCCGCTGTAGCTTTATTATGGTTGTAGGCACGAATGGGTCGGCTCTGGGAATGACCACGCTTCCACAGAATACCAGCGTAAAATGACAGCTTAGTGCTGCTGTGTTTCGTATAGTATATGTAGGAAAGCGGAACCCTTTTCACTAGAAACGAGGCATCCTATCTTAGTCATCAGGGATGACAATGCATCTGCATTTTGATTCTTAATCGAAGACAGACTTACCATCAGCTAAACTGTATGCTTGTTTGACACTCATATTATAAAAAAAAAACATTTTGGTTGGTTAGTTGGTCATTGAAGTTACTGTGCAAGCAATACAGGTAAATCTCATTGAACATATCATACAATTTAAAAAAAAAAATTATATTTTACAGGTAATTGGTAAGTGAATTGCCATTAGTTAGCATTTGCAGGAAATAGTCTTTCACTATCAACCTTTCACGTACCAGTATTTTAATATGTTATTTATGTTATTAGTAATTTTTTATAATTTCACTGATCAATGAATGGTTTGAAGTTAAAAGAAGATTTAAAGTTATTCAGATTCAAAAAGAAAGATATTAGTCGGTAATTTAGTTAAGTAATCTTAATTTACCTAATATTTAACTAAATAGAATTTAGGTCTGGTTATAATTAATTTATGTACGTTAATTAAAGTATTTTTATAGTTCATTATTAAATGCATGCACTGATATCTCACTCACATCATCGATTCGACTCTTGATTAAGTTCTTAGCTTGCGCCAAATGCACCGGTATCTCCAAATCGGGGTGTTCAGCTTTAAGGTCGATTCGAGCTAGACAGTATTTTCCTTGCACTCTAACCACACTTCCGGTATCCAGTTGAACGCGAGCTTGACTTCCTAAGCACTGGTCAAAGTTACCCAGTTGGATACCATTGCCTTGAAGTATACCCGAGGGAACCTTGCCAGTTGCGTCGAGCACTGAAACAGTCCTAAATGTTAAATCCTTTGGGACTAATTTAGTATGCTTAGTTGAATAACAACGAGAATTACTTTATGATGTCGTGTTTGAGGCTCGTCGTGAATTTTACAGTACGCGGGTGACCCGGGTTTGATTCCCAGTAGCACTAATGAAATTATTAATTGCGAGTTTAAATTGCTGATTTACCACGTGCACAGCGGTAAAAGAAAACCGATGCCCAGCGCGATGAATATGAACAAATCCACAAAGTAATGCACTTTAGCTGGTGCATTATTTAAAAAAAAACTTTATCCAGGTTTAGATTTTTCAATACTGATAATGTTGACAGTGAAGCTCATAGTAACAAATTTTTCTTATCATATAATAGTTTTTATTGAATAAGGGTGACAAATGAGCGCACAGTCCACTTGATGGTTAACGGATACTGTGGTCTATAGACATTTAAACTCGATTAAGCATCAATATGCAGGTACGTTTCCACAGTGGTAGAGCCACGCGGCAGCTTTTGCTGTCGCACGGATGGGCCGGCTCGAACCGGGGTGGTACCACGACCTCACAGAATACCAGCGTAAAGTAGAGGTTTACCTCTGCGTTTCGCTTGGTGAGTGCAGGTGGCCGGAGGCCCTTTTTACTGGAAATGAGGCATTCCATCTTAGTCCTCACGGGTGGCAACGCATCTGCATTTTAATTCGCAAACGAGGATAGATGTAGATGTCTATGGGCCGCAGCAACCACTTACCATCAGGTGGACTGTGTGCTCGTTTGTCACCCTTATCCTATAAAAAAAAATACGTTGTCTGTGGACTAAGATATAATGCCACGTATTCAGTTAAGTTGGTCTTCGGTTCTCCACACTCACCACACGAAACACAGCAGCATTAAGCTGCTATTTTACGCTGGTATTCTGTGAGATTATGTGTTGTATTCAGTTATTTAGAATTCTCTATCATTATGTTAGTCATAATTCTTTTCAAGATTTATTTTTAATTCAACAGGGTCATTTTTATTACGATATAAATATTTAAAGGTGTTTACATCTTTTATATATCTAGATAATGTGGCAATAGGCCGGCTCAAAGAATTTGTATCGAAATTATACTATTAAGAAGTTGCTTAGTAAGCAATTTTTAGAGCGACTGGCGTGCGCTTCTACACAACTGGCAGTCGACAGTAGATACTGCACTAAAATATTGTAATACAAAACGAAAATGTCTAATTTCTTACTAAGAGGTCAGTTATTTATCTCAATTATACTTGATATTATACCAAGATACCTCAAACTGATAACCGATGGTAAGCTCGCACCGGCACCGTAAGGTGGGACGTGATGGGATATGAAATAAGGTAAAGGCATGCATAGAAAAGCAGGTGGCTTAGGACTGTAGTTTGTTGCAATATATAGGGGAGACCTAGGCCCGTCAGTGAACTTTTGCTGGGTTTAAATGAAAGTAATGACGATGATAATTCCAACTGCCAAATTTCAAGAACGCACATCGCGTCAAAATTCACGATACCATCTTAACAATCTGGATGCTTGGTGGTCCACAATTGTGCCTTTTACTAGAGTTTTCTTCCTCGTACAACTTCTCTGTGGAATTGTTTACCACCGGCGATTTTTCCGGAACGATACGACTTAGGGACCTTCAAGCAAAGAGCTTACACTTTTCTAAAAGGCCGGCAACACATCTGCAATTCCCCTGGTGTTGCGGTTGTTTATAGGCGGCGGTAGTCACTCACCATCAGGTGAGCCGCATGTTCGTTTGCCCCTCTTCTAAAAACAAAAAGATGTAAACGGGATTTTATTACCAGTGGAAGGATATTCATTAATTATGTTATGTGGTTATTTTCAGTTCTTTGGTCTATATAGAAAATTTGTTATACTTGATATAGAATCAAAAGTAAATAAAAGCTATTCATTGTATAATACATAGATGTAAGGGTGACAACAAGCAAACAGCCTACCTATTGATAAGTATTTGTGAGTCCACAGCTGAACATAGCCCTCCCAAGTAAATTGTATCTCAGTAGTCAATATTCCCTATATCTATACAAATCAATAAAATTGAAGTGTCTGTTTGTGATGTCAAAATTACAGCTTTTTACTAAATGCATATAAAAATGTATACGGTACTAATAACAAAAATACAATTTTTAAAGTTTTTGTCTGCCTGTCTGTCTATCTGTCTGTCTGTCCGTCTGTCTGTCTGTTTGTTCGGCTGGACCGATTTTGACGGGATTTTCACTGGCAGATAGCTGATGTCACAAGAAGTAACTTAGGCTACTTTTATTTTAGAAAAAGAATTTGGGTTCCGCGCAAAAAAAAACACGCGGGTGAAGTCGCGGGGAACAGCTAGTTAGTCATAATTTCCAAACTTGGTAAGAAGGTTGGCAAGTGCAGATTTTTATAATGTTGAATTGTTATTAGAAAAATGCTACTGCCCAGCTTCTGATTTATTTTCCTTCTGTCGTCTCTTACGCCACCCACGGGATGATATGGACGTGAAGGAACCCACTAGTATTCTTTCAAGCTGCCACTATACGGCGACCCATGAAAATGTGTTGCCATCCTTAAGGGGTAATATAATGTGCGTCGTCACATTATATAATATATTACATACTGTTATTATTATCATATGTAAATGGATTCTTAATTTTTAGCTGTCTTTATTAATTTATTGACACAATAAGTCAGTTACAGTAAAAAAAACAAAGGCGAACGTTTTACGGAATAATGAAAGAATAAACATTTTGTTTACTCAACCAAAGTTCTGCTGACTGAAATGGATTTGAAACGGAATTATTTATATTTTTATTATTTACATCTGTTGCCAAATGCTTCGAATCAGTGCCAGTAAAACATTTAAGACAGCGAAGAAGGAATAATAATAAATTGTTTTTCCTTTTGCTTTTTTTAAGTGAATCTAAATTTTTAAAGCAATGATGTATTTTATTACCATTACAAATGAGGAAATACTTACTGTTTAACGCCCATAACTTTGAACCACGTAGTTGTCTAAGAAGGATTTGCCCATGACGCCTGCACTCAGGATTCTGAACGCGTGTAAAGTTTGGAGCAAAAGTTGGAAAGAACGCATAGAAATCCTCAAATTCACTTTTCAGTAAGTTTCGTCTGAATGAGGCATTCGTAACGTGCTTTAAACGATTTTCTTCTTGACTTCCATTTTTGTCAATTTCTTGCCTTGGCCCTTTTATGTCTTTTGATATTGTTGTGACTTTTAATTCTTCATCGACTTTTTTAATTTCGAGCTTATCTTTTGCGGTAATCCCAATAGGCAGTTTTTCTTTCGGTTTCTTAAAGTCACTTCTTAAAACCTCATCTAATTTAATTTCCTCTTGATCGTTTGCGGAAGGTATATCTTGTATTTTTCCGATGTTTTTATCTTTCGGTTCTCTTTCTTTTTTCAGGATATTTTTATTAGTAGATTGTATTGGTGTTTGCTGCTTTTTTATCTTTTGATTGGGTTCGACAACTTTTTCAGCATCTATTTCTTTGATTTTAGGGATCTCATCTTTTATAACTGATTTTTCATTTTTTAAAGGTTTTGGATTTTTATCCATTTCCGCATTTAAAAAAGGTTTATCGAAATTTGTTTCATTTTTGTCATTATTAATAGGCATATTATCATTTTCATCATCTTCATCATCCTCAACATCACTGTCTTCATCCTCTACCTTTGTACGTTGTAATGGTTTAAACTGAACATCCTTGGAAATCTCTTTTCTCTTCTTGACTACACTTGCTCTCATTTGTTGATCGCGTTTATCGTCGTCACGGTCATTTTCACCATTATTATCACTATCTTCACTTTCACTGTGTTGAACATTATTATCCTTCTTAATTTCATCAACTTGTATACTATGTGAACTAGCAATATTGACTTTTTTCTTACTTGTACTTAGTTTTGTTTCTACGTCATTATATATTCCGGAAGCTTTTTGTTTATCTTGCCATTTTGATGCAAGTTTTTTAAGATAAATTAAATTTTCATTGCCTTCATCGTCATCTTCGTCACTATCTTCATCGGTTTCATCGTCAAATCGTTTTGTTTTTTCGGGTATCTTGTCGTCGAGATATTGTTTGTTTTCTTTGTTATCACTTTCGGTTTTATGCACGGGCGAGGTTCGATCGATTTCAAGTTTATTCACATCACAATTTTCACATTTATGCTTTTTCTTAAACTCTGAAACACTCTCATAAGTAGTTTTTTTAAGGTCACGAATACGGAACGCGGTTATCACTGTAGTTAAGAGAGTTAATGATATTATAACAAGAGTAAACGTCCATTTGATTCGCACCATGGCAGACGCGAGACGCTCACAGCGCCATCATAAACCCGACTAATACGTTTTTCATCTACACACTCTAAAATTAATTTGTCTCTACACACATATCATTAAAGTATTTGTAATTCATTGATATTTTATTAAAACAAACTCGTAGTTCATGGTTTAGTAAAGATATTTAGAGGTAAAATAACTGAATCCCGGCCGAAGTTAAATTGAATGTACTATACGAGGGCATGCTCATGCGTTATGGCATGCTTCCAAGATTAGCGTAAAAATAGTTTAGCCGAAGCGATTGTCCGGCTCACAAGGTGATTTGATGATGACCGGTTTAAATGCATTTTGACATTAGTATACAACCTATGTTTTGGTTTATGCAAAAAATTTAACAATCTCCCAAGTATATTGCGCAAGTATATACACGCAAATGATGAAGACACAAAAATTGTGTTTATTTTTTTTTTGCTTTGATTTATAATATTATCAAGAAAATCCATTTGCGTGTAGGAATTACAGAAGTGTAAAAAATTCTAACAATTTTTATTATTATTATATTTTTATTTAGGGACATGGCGCTAGTTATTTGCAGATATAGATAGAGAAGATAGTTAGTGCATCTTTAAATAATTTTTAAAATTCTTAGGAGAATAAATACGTCGTAACTCTTTGATTTTGACGGTACAATATTTATTAATAAGCAAAAAAGAAACACATATTTGTGTGGCATTCCTTGAAGGAGGCCTAGGCAATACAGTAACACAGTGGATTTTATGAGCTGTAATAATCGTGATGAAAAAAGTTGAAAATGTCTTGTAAACGTTAAACATTTAAGGTAATAGTAGATTTTATGTTATTTTTTTATTATGTTGTATGGTCGTGATTGCTCAGGGGGATCTACCTCACTTCGAAATTCAAACTATGTAAATAAACCCCGAGAATCCGGCCGGAGAAGCCAGCACTAATGAAAATTTTGCAATTAACATTAAAGGTGGAGAAACTTGTATATATAAGAATTTGTAAACAATAGTTCGAGTACATGTAAAGCCCAGGAGTAGGGATTTAGGCACAAAAGAGGGCCGACATTGGCTTTGTGACGTATTTAGGCTATTACTCCTTAAGTTCTTAAAATACAGGAATAAATATCACAACTTCCTCGGTCTGCGTATATAAAACTTGATATACTACAATCTAAAATTAAAAATTTAGTACAACCGACTTTAGTATAAATTATTAAGAATAACTTAAAAACTATTGGTCAGACTTTAATCAAATTTATATGGAACCACATGAGAAGCTCCAGCTTCCAAATAAAAAAAATCATCGAAATCGGTTCACCTAGAAAAAAGTTATGAGGTAACACACATAAAAAAAAACATAAGGTCGAGTTGAGTAAAGTGAGCAGAAAAGATAATAATTCCTTCTTGGATGACAATAAATTACCAATTAATAGTAAGTTTACAAACGTGAATAAATGTAATTTAGATAAAATATTTAACGTAAGAGGTAATGAAACCATACATTACGCGTTGATTTTAAGCTTGCACCCAAACTTATTGTGAACTTAAAAAACTATTAAGGTAATTTATGCTAAAATTTTTAACTTAATGTTACTTTTTAATTAAAGTTTTTTAATCCAAACTTATTGATAACTTATATGTACCTATAATTAATGGGGTAAATTATGCATTTATTTGAAATCTTATTTAAATTTTTGCTTAAAGCTGTACACTATTGTGAAACGTAGGACAGTATCTTATTTGTCGCCTTTGCCGTGCGTGTCGCAATCGCACTCCTGCAGTGAAATTCTTAAAATCTAGGCATTTATTGTTAAGTTAAGAAATTAAAATTGTTGAATTAGTGCAAGATAATATATTAATTAAGTTAAACATTTTTTCCGTTTTTTAATCTCTGGAGTATATGTTAGTATTTTTTACTTTTTGTTAGGGAGACGCTACTATTCCTCTCGTGGCCTGTTTTCCTCTGTCGCCAGACACCCAAGGGACGATACGTGGTAGTAAATATTCTTACACTGTTCTTTTTTCATATGTCTTAAAAATATTTATTTTCATTAACATAGGTAATATAAATATAAAGATATGATGATAAGATTTAATATATTGCGTAAAATACTTAAAACTTAATACTGTTTATTGAATAATTAACTTATAATTATATTCTTGATAATGAGCATACAATATTACACAAGGTATGTATATCAAAAACTTTAAAATGCTGATCGGTTAATAGCTCAAAGGACACAGCGACATTTCGGCAGTTTTTGAATTCGCACTGAGTTGTAATAAACAGTGGCTTCCACCGGACTCCAGGTATAATCACTCCTGGGAATATGGTGGTCGTTCACATGCAATTGTTATATGTTTTTTTTTATTTTAAACTGTACAAGATATATTGCGAATAAATATGTATTTAAAGAATAATCTCTAGGTTTCTTGCTCGTATTCCCACGCTTTTTGAGCGCTTAACGTCTGGGCTACCATGACTCCACCACATACATAGATGAAGTTTCTCATAACCTGTCTATGCTTTGCTATGCTTTGGTACTATAAAAGCGCAATATAACAGTCGCCATAAACAAGGGGTGATACCAACTAAGACAATGAAAGTCGAAAAATGACCTGCGTATCTACTAAACAAATTTCTCTAATTTAAACTTAATAAGCCAAATACTTTAAATACCACGTACATAATTCACTAGCAAGAAAACTATAATTATCGGTTTCTTGCTGGTTCTTCACAGGGCAGAAGTATTTATCTTGCCAGTGATAAAGAGTTTCAATAAGTATTATTTATCTAATATATCGAAAAAAATAATATATTTCTATTTCTTCTGTAATCTGACGATCATATTCTTAGAGTATTTTTTTTTATAGGATAGGGTGACAAACGAGCACACAGTCCACCTGATGGTAAGTGGTTGCTGTGGCCCATAGACATCTACATCCATCCTCGTTCGCGAATCAAAATGCAGATGCGTTGTCACCCTTTAGGACTAAGATGGAATGTGTGCCCTACAGGCACATTTGTGTGCTGGATTGGTGGAGAATAAAACCGCTGTGATATTTTTCTTTCTTCTATATTTGGTGTTTTCCTTGAGGTAGCTGGCCGCCGACTGTGTCGAACGACGAAAATCGCCCCTCTTTTATACCGCCTCGGACTGGGTCAATGGATACGGCCGACGCATCGTACAAATGGCGTCGACCAATCAGCGCGAGGCGTGACAGAGCAAGTGACGATGCTGAGTCCCGTTACATTGTTTGTCTTAAGCTAGTTCTATATCTTACTGAGTCATTGTTTACATTGTTTACCTTAAGCTAGTTCTGTTATACAAAGTGACCAACTAATTTTATTACACAAATATAAGCTCTACACTATTATTTTCTTAACATAAAATGCTTATATCCTATCTAAACTATAATCTCTATTAATATAAATGTTTATCCTATCTAAGTACAAACTAACTATATAATATTTATTCCATTAATATAAATGTTTTTGTCTTATTTATGTATCACTATTTGTTTTTCTCTTGTCCCGCACATCACTCCCGCCGTGCGACCGCGTCGCATCAGCTTCCGGTGCGGGCTCGACGTCCGTAGATAGAGGCAGGATCACAAGCTTCCTTACTGGCCGGCGTAGGACACCTCCCTTAGTTAGCACGTCCACAGTCCGCACGACGTTGTCGGGACCCGGATATGTAGCGATGACTCTTCCTCGTATCCACACGTTGCGAGGCAGGTTGGGATCGACGATCTGTACGAGGTCGTCGACGCGTGCTGCTTGGCCTTGTCCGTGGGGCTCCCGCCGGTGTTGAAGCTCAGGGAGGTACTCCTTCACCCAGCGTAACCAGAAGGTGTCGGCTAGCCTCTGCGCGGCTCGCCAACTTGACCGTGAGAGGGCGTCTCGTTCGGTGAAAGTGCCTAGCTGTGGTACTCGTCCCGGTCCTCCCAACAAGAAGTGGTTAGGAGTGAGAGCTTCGGGATCCTCTGGACTGACTGAGACGTGAGTCAGCGGTCGGCTGTTGACGGTGTATTCCACTTCTACCAGTAGTGTCGTGAGGACTTCCTCCGTCGGATGACGTTCGTGCAACGTCGCGATAAGAGCGGTCTTGACGGAGCGAACCATTCGCTCCCAGGCTCCGCCCATAAATGGAGCTCCAGGCGGGATGTAGCGCCAGGAGATAGTCCTTTTTGCTGCTTTTTCTGCGGTCGCTGCGTCGACCGCCTGTCGTAGTTCCTTATCGGCTGCCTTCAGGTTGGTGCCGTTGTCTGACCATATTTCTGTCGGGCAGCCTCGCCGTGCGATCATCCGCCTTATGGCCATTACCGCGGAGTCAGCGCTAAGTGAGCCGGCAACTTCTAGATGTATGGCTCGCGTAGTGAGACATGTAAAAATGGCCACATATCTCTTTTGTCGAGTTCGTCCGACGGTCACCGAAAGAGGTCCGAAATAGTCCACCCCGGTGTAGGTGAAGGGGCGCTTGTGGTGAGCTAAGCGACACGTTGGCAGGTCCCCGGTTCTCGGATGCGGCGGTACTTGCGTCTTCATTCTGCAGAATAGGCATTTTCGTAGTATTGTGCGTACGATAGGGCGCAGTCTCAGTACCCAATACTGCTGCCGGCACTCGTTAACTGTGGCTTCTACACCGGCGTGATGGAGTTGCCGATGTATAGCCTGCACCCAGAGCTTGACTGTGTGATGATCACCGTCAATTATCAACGGGTTCTTGAATTTTTCCTCCATGTCGCAGACTGCTCGAATACGACTTCTAAGTCGTAGTGTGCCGTTTATTGACTCGACGCTGAGCTGGCGAAGGCGGCTCTCCTTATTGATCGGCTTCCCGCTGTTTAGGCTGTCTATTCCAAGTGTTTCTAGGAGTGATGCTGAGTTTGATTTCCACTGTTTCAACTCGAAGCTGGCCTTCATGTGCACGGCTCGTACACTCTTCGTGATGCGTTTGGCATCTTCGAGGGTTCTGAAGCTGTCCAAGTAGTCGT